GGAAAAAAAATTCTTTATTTCCCTTTCCAAGTTTTTTTGGTTTTTTTAAAAATCCGGGGGGGGGGGGGGGGGGGGGCTGCTTACACTGACAAGCACCGCTTGCGATTCTTAGGGTTGGGTGATGTCCCGGAAGGCGTGCCTTTGGCTGTGTAGGTTGCGCTTGCTCTGTGTTGCCGCCGCCAGCCGCAATGGACTTTCTGCCCTTCCCTTTTTGTCCGGTTTTGACTTGGCGGGCTTCACTCATCGTTGGTGTTGACAAACGTGCTTCAGACCGATTCCTCCCCCATTGGAGGACATGCCCTGGTTTCATGGTGAGCTGGAGCGCGCGGACGCTGAGGCTGTCATCAAGCTTTACTGTGAAGAGGAAGGGCGCCAGGTGTGTGAAAGTCCTCCACCGCACCCCACTGCTCAAGTGATCCTGGCTACAATCTGCTCTCCTATTCCTGGTTGCGGTGATGGTTTCTGGTCCGCTGGCGTGGGCGACAACAGCTTCACCATGCAACTTATCATAGCACCTGGTCGATGCTTGTGCACAGATTCCCGGCGCGTTTCTCATCCGACAGAGCGGACCCGACACCCACTCTTTTGTGCTCTCTTTCTTGGGGGACGACAAGGGCCACGTACGCATCCTCTCCGCCTTGGTGTCTGAGCTAATAGCGGGCATCATCAGGAATGGTCAAGGCTCACAAGCTTGCTGTGCGGCCTATTGTAGATGATGCATCACCGTATCACGTATGATGAAGCTGCGGATTGCTTTTATTTGGATAGTTCTGGAGCGCGCTTTGATTTGATACACACGCTGGTTGATGCGGGCATCGTGGGCAGTCTTCGTCTCAAGCACCGGCTCACGCATGTGCGATTGAAAACTCGCACCAAATAGCTGGAATATCACTCAGTGGCTGCCTCAATCCTCATCTGGTTGTTTGGGCCTTGGTCTGTTCAATAGTCGGTACCGAGTCGCGAGCACCAGGCCAAGCGGAAGCTATTGAAAACGGCTCGCCTGAGTGAAGCCGACTTTTTGCAGCTGAGCCGACCGGCTGGTACGTGCCTGTTCATGCACCCTGGTCTGCCGTCGGCTTGACCTTTTCCAGCCGTACAGCGGAACTGGCCTCTTGTATTTGAGCTCATCACACCCACTTGTAGATCATGAGAACCACAAAGTGGGCGGTTCAGTCACACTGCGCATGGCTGGCTGGATGCATAAGCGGGGTTCAGGCGGTGGAGGTGCGCGTTTGGTGTGGCTTGCTTGATTTGTGCTGGGTTCCTTCGCGCCTCGATTCTTTTTTTTCTTGCTGAAGCGCAAACACTCATGCTCAACACTCATGTTTACCAACGTCTCGCTTGGACCTCTGCCTGCAGCGTTTAGTGGCAAGGGCTGGCGACGGCGCTGGTTTATTTTACAAGGTTGGTGGGCGTGGTTTGGCCTGTCGAAGGCGAAGCTTCGGCTGGGCGTTATCAATTTAACCTCAGAGTGGTGTGTGTATCTTGTACCAGACACCATTCTCAAGTACTTTAGCCGGCCATCCGCATCCACGGCTAACGGCTACATCAACTTGACGCACGACACCAACGTTCGCGTGCACTCGGACAAAGAATTCACGATCGAAACGCCCAAGCGCATTTTCCACCTTCACTGTTCCGACAACCAGGTAAACTTTCGGCCCTTGCCGTTGGCTTTGACAGGGTTTGTGCTGGTGGGGCCTCGTTTTGGGTGCAGAGCACAGGTACAGCTGCTCATGAATCAAACCTGCCCGCAGAGCTTAAACCAGTGGGTGTCCATAATCAATGCGGCCATTGATAGCAGTCGAGCCAATCTCGAGGCCTCGGATCGCCTCAGCACAATGGCTCGCCACGTCCGCACCGGTACCCTGAACCGTCGATCCTTGCAGTGGGCCGAACCTCATGATAGCGATGACGAAGACACGTACGCCCCGGCCTTGACCGAGGGACCTGATGGCCGGCCTGGCGCTGCTAACTCTCTAGCACGAGGCAAGAGCATCCGCACGCAGCTTCACAGCTTGCCGTCCGTGCGTCGTGCTTCATCCATGACTTCGAAAGCTTCCAGTGCTGGGCCCCTTCCTCACGCAGCCGGCCCCACGACGCGAGCGCCCGTTGCAACCATCCCGCCAGCCTTTGGCCTATCATGAGGCACGGGACAGGTCGAGATCATATCTTGGCTGTGGTAGAATGCACGCCCCGATCCACGTCTCATCTGTAGTTCGCAAAAGAACCATAACAATTCATTCATACACAACATCCAATGTCAGCAACAACAAACAACACTAGGTCTTTTTCTTGCCAGCAGGCAAGCAAGGCCAGCTTGACATTAGTCCCTTGGGTCGCCGCGATCAAGATGGCGGTGGGTTGCGCCTTATGCTTGAGGGGTGGATGCCATAGGTGGATCGACCCCACCCTAGAGCTTGTCCAGCTTGCTTATGACGCTCGGGCAATCATTTCCTTAGGGCCGTGCGCGGCTGACGGCATCCAATCTGAAGCAGCTCACCATTATTCAGGAACGCGAGGAGCACGTCAAGAGTCGCGTGTCAACCAGGCCCCAATCCTCGGGTAGAGCAGCTAGCAAGGATCACATGGATGGAAAGGCGCACATGGATGGGAAAGCACACACGGATGGGAAGCATCCAGACCGAGATGGCTTTGTCAAGGTACTCGACGCAGTTCTTTTGCTTTGTTCCAAGCGAGACAGTAATCTTGCGAGGCTTGGGCATCATCATCCTCGGTCCGTGTTCAAACTCACGTATTGAAACTCGCAGCAAGAGTCGCGGCAGTCCATCATCACCATCACGACAGATGACCATGACGAGCCAACACCGGTTGTGGCCGATCAGGATGCCATTCATCAGGTCATGGTCGGCTAGGCACTGCAGTCGTCGCCCAGACGAGGTGGCCCATCTCACGCCATGGTTCTGAATCGGCCCTTTCTCTTCACGTTTCATAGCTCAGCACCGTGGGCTGGGAAGCAGCGCCCCGCTTGTTGGTTCTTACGGAGCACTTGATTCAACAGGGCCACCGTGGCCCAGGTTTTGAAGCTTTCTACTCTGATTCTGTAAGGCCAGATAAGCCTTTCACCCCTTCGTTAGAGCATTGGCATATGACCTCAGAAATTGAGTCCTTTTGCGGGCTTGCCTTGGTAATAGGTACTGGTGGGCATGGTTGAACGCTGTCTATCACTGATCCAAGAAGCCTCTTTGCTCTTACAAAGCTCTGCCTGGGTGATCTTAGCTACTTCATGCACGAGTCGCGCTTGCCGCACCGCCTCGCGTGGCTGACCTTTTTGTCCTTGCACGGCGCAGGTAGAGACCCCACCCAATGCCACGGCGCTTGGGGCAGTGTGCAAGGTAAGACACACGAGCTATCGATGTGTTCTGAACTGGGCGACCTCGCATTGTGATGGCCATTCCGTCTCAGTCTACGCCTATCCTCTGACTGGACGTCAAATGATAGCTGTTAGCACTCTCGGCGAATAGCTGTGACCATGCCCTTACCGCCTTGCTCAAGGTGAGTGTTGCGTTGAGCACTGCTAAGAAAGCATTTTGACCTGACACACACATCTGCCTCTTTGATAGGGGAACACAGGGCATTTGCTTGACATAACCACCCGGCAGCTCGGTTTGGCATCCAGTCAAGCGGTTTGTCAAAGTGCTGGAATGAACGTCGCGCTTATGTTGATGTGCTATCACCGTCTTGCTGACAAAGTCACCTTGTCCTCGTAGATGCTACCTCTGGGCGTGCGGGCTTATTATGATCGTCGAGGCTGCCAGCAGCTCGTAGCCGACGGCATAACGAGACACATCTGGACCGTGCTTTCGGAGAGTGAAGAACTGGTGCGCGCTGCAAAGTCCCACAACCGCATCCGTGCGAAAAAGGCTTCTTTCACCCCCCTTTTATCACCGGAGTAGGAAGAGCTGCGCATAGCCGCCTGGCTGCTGCATTGCCTCATGAGCTTTTCACCCCTTCCACTTGATCGTTCGCAGCTTGAAGAGGTGCATGTTGTTTCTTGGCCGCTGTTGACAATTCACGGGTTGTTCAGTCAAAGGTTGCAGATGCTAACTCGTACGCTTGCTTGACCTGTGTGTATGCCTGCAGCTACTATCGGCCATCGGCCTTTGGCTGGAGCGTTGCCGACAAGATGCCAGGACAACTGCCACGTTGCTCTGGGTTTGCGCTGGCATTGGTGACCATGATGTCACATTGCTACCCCTCATATTCCAAGCAGCAAATCAAGCACTCGCAAAGGCTCTTCGGAGCTCCTGCGAGCATGGCATGGTATGCGTGCTTATTGACCTGCCAAGCGTTGACAGACTAGGGTAGCCCGCACTTCCTCAGCGTTCGTTGCCAGGGCGCAGCCGTGCACTTAGGGGCCCATACCTTGGCCTGTCCTGATGCATCGCAACTACACCAGGTGTGCGACATGTTCTTGTGAATGTCTTTCGTCGTGGCCGTGGGTTCATGCTGATGTTTGCGCATGTTTACAGACCGTCTTGGAGTGGGGCATTCTGGAGCGCACGCCCGTCTTGCTGGCGTCTACTCGCACCAACTTGCGCCACGATGTGCGAACATGCGTTGGGCTACACTTGATGACAACCCTTCTCTTTCTCTCCTCAATTTGCTTCAATCGGGTGGCTTACATCAGAAGAGGGGAAGGCGGGGAAAGTTTGGTTGCACATTAACGATGATACTGATGGTGTTTATACTTTACAAAGGCTCTCTGGGCGCTTGCCAGTCTTTTGGCCCCGCCAACACGACGTCAAGGTGGGTGCAAGTTGATACTCGCAGCCGGCTGGTGGTGTGGCATGCTGATGACTCGTTGGGTCATGTAGTTTGGGATCTTGGACTCGTCGATGACGTGCTGCGCATCCTGCTCAAGGCAAGCGGCAGTGCGTTGTGGTGACTCCTCCTCCTGTCCAGTGCGTTCAACTCACAGCGGCACGCTGGCTGAGCGTAGCCTTCGCTACCTACGATAATTCTTTCGGCGGCCCGCTGGTTTCTCGTCAAAGCGGTGACCACGGTAGGCGCCGGTTCGAGCTGTGATGGCGAAAAACTGGTTGTCGTGACATTCTTTCGCATGGACTAGTGCCAAACTCTTTGTACATGCGGCTGTAGAATGATCAATGGGAGCTGGCGCACTTGGCCCAAAGGCATGCCGTTGTGCTTGTACTGGAGCAGCTGATTGGCCCAGAGGTATTCCGCAGACTTTGATTTGAGCTTCGGCATGTTGCCGATAGAAGCTAACAGCTTTAATCTTGCCACTTTTTGAGAGCTTAGTTGCACGTTGAGGTGGGGATCAAGGCATTGATTAAGATGGCACGGGCGACCCCCGTGGCAGTGGAGCAGTTAGAAGCGGCCAACGGTGTGTGATTCGCCCATGGCTCTTTCATTCATGCCTTGTCACCTCGACTTTTTGGGACCTGGGCCCCAGCAGTCATAGCGCTCATCAGAACGTGCGTCGTCCGCTTGCCAACGACGTTCCCATGCTCAGCACGTGTTATTATGCAGCAGTTGGGCCGGCGCAATAAACGTTTGCGACCATTGACGGAGGAGTTTGAGCGTATTCTCGGCCTTCACCAAGAAAACTTGGCCAACCACTATGGCACCACTTCCACCTAACGAGCACAACTATGCATGTGTCCAAATGGTTCTGCGCCATAATAGTCCGGGTGTCCCATGTTTTGAAGTTGGTCCTCAAAAGTGAACCCTTTTGTTTAGCCCCTTGACAACCGTACATGTCAAACAACCAACAAAGAGAGAGAGAGAGAGACAGTTTACGAGAGAGTTTGAGTTTAAGAGAGAGAGAGAGAGAGAGAGCTTTGATCACGCTCGATCACTGATCAGGCTCATTTTCTTCTTCTCGTGTCTTCATCGGACTGAGGTAGGTGGGTTGGATGGTCCTAGGGCGGGGTCGGGTCGCGCCAAACACTATTCTCGAGACGGCTTGTTGAGAGGGGCTCATTTTGGTCTGCAATCAGGCGCGCGTTGATGCCTCCCTGACTCTCTCGTCAGTGAGCTACCGGTGGGCACTTTCATTTGCCATCAGCTCACTTTCATTTGCCATCCCGGTCTTTTTTTATGCTCTGGTGACTGCAGGCTTCAATGTTTTCGTGTAAATCACGCCAAGCCGTCCAAGCATCCGATCCCAGCACGATGGCCGGTAAACTCAAAGTATTTTTGAACACAAACGTGGATGTCTCGTCATGGAAGACGATCATGCGCGACCTGCGCGATCACCCTCGCTGGTCCTACGTGGCCTTTGCCCGCGATGATGAGGCTCCGCTTACCGCGCTCTCCTACCGTTGGGACGGACCGGCCTTTGACTTTGCCAAGATCATGAGCACTCGCTGGGACTCTGTGCTTCGCGATTTTCAGGCCAAGCACGAGACGGAGATTCTTGATCATGTCCACTCTGAACGCCTGAAACCCCACGTTGCCAAACACAAGAAGCTGTGGGTGGACCAGCACTGCATCCCTCAGGTTGAAGGGCGCATGGGCTGCATTGAGGTGGCTGGTCAGCTGTACCACGGCCCCGTCATTGCGGCTTGGCTCACCACTGAGGCAGTGGATAAAGCCTTCGCCGCAGGCCGGGCGCACGAGCTCTTGGGCGAGCTAGAGGGCTGGCTTGGCCGCGGCTGGGTGCAGCAAGAGGTCACGGCCCGCGGCAAGCTAGTGAATCTCGATGCCTTTGAGCATTTCTTCAAGATGGGGAAACGGTATGTCAATCTCCGTAGCCGCGACAACCGGCGTGTTTTGTCCATTCTCAACTGTCTGATTGCTTTTCCTCATGATCTCCCGATTGCTGACTCTCCGATCTTGGGGTATTACCGGTCGCCTCATTGGGCTGTTCTGTTTCAACACATCCTTACATAGGTCCAGAGATGCCCGTCTCACCAGTGGTGGCGAGTCGCTTTGCCTCTTATTGCGACGCATGAAGGGTGAAAAAGTCGAGCCCATTCAAGACCGCATCGTTCGCTTCTACGCCGTGAACGAGGCTGACTTTACCGTTGAGGAAGATCGAGGGTTCAACATCCCCAGCTTTGCCGATATGGGCTATGAAGCCTTTGACATTGGCAAGCAGCCTGCGGGCTACAAACTCCAGCCAGAAATTCGGGTTCACGGCGAACGTGTCGCCATGGTCGACGCCAACGGCAACACCATTGCCAAGTGGTTTCGCCGCAAGGCCCTGTACACGCGCGCTTAAGCCCAAGCCCAGCAGCAATGACCATGACCATGTGCTAAATGCCTGTTGAGCTCGATTGAGGTCGAGTGCTTGATGCCCCTTGTCTCTCTTTGAATTTCAATCTTGAGTTTATTGTCTTTTCCTTTTTCTTCCAAAGTCTGTGATTTGCATGATTTGGCTCCTATGCTCAACAGAGTCTTTCCCCTGAACGTCCAAAGGTTTCACGCTGGCATGCCCACCGCTGCCACCAGCCTTCAGTTAGTTCAAGTTTCAGCCTCGTCCAATTGACTTGTCCATCACTCATCACTCGATGATAAAAGATCGTTATAAAACATTCACACACTTTCTCTCTCTCTCACATTCGTGCATTCACACACACACACACACACACACACACACACACACACACACACACACACACACACACACACACACACACACACACACACACACACACACACACACACACACACACACACACACACACACACACACACACACACACACACACACACACACACACTTTTTTTGGCAAGGTGGCGGCGGGGATGGTCATTCTAGACCGCCAGGGACGGGCGTGCGACGGCGGGCTGCGCTACGTTCGTTGAATTGCGGGTCGCGCAGGGGGTTCGCTCTCGCGCCTTGCCCGCCTTTGGCGTGCGAGCTGGTTTGGCGCAAAGATCCTGAACGGCCGAGCTGGACCAACCGTCAAATAGGCGGCGCACTGCAGACTCCACCGGTCAGGATGGCTAATCCTTGGTCCCAGCTTCGAGTGGCCGACCTCAAGCTATATCTCAGAGCCATGGGGTATAAGACCTATGGCAAAAAAGTAAGCCCTCGCAAAGAGCAGCACGACTGCTGCTTGCTACGCGTGGCTTCCCGTTCTTCCAGTTGTAGGCAATTTAACGTGTCTTCATGTCGCCCAAACTTATCTGATTCGGCACGGGGCGATCACGAACTAGGCTGAGCTGATCGCACAACTGAAAGCAATTATGCAGAGTGATCCTACGGCTCGGAAGATGGTGCACCCCGCCTTTTGGTCAGTACGCATATGTTTCGAGTCGACGCCTCTTTCTGCCTTGCCTTCTCACCTAATCATGTGCGCTGCTGCCTACCATCGACGGGTGCCACATGACACACACCAGGAGCCCAGTCGGTACCCTCAAAGACGTCAAACAGGACCAGCTCGGCCAGGATACCAATGCTGCGTTGAACTGGCACCGCGCTCAAGTCCAATCGTCACAGTCACAGTCACAGTCACAGTCTCAGTCTCAGTCTCAGTCTCAGTCTCAGGCACCGCTGACTCAGACGCAAGCCCAGGCTCATGCTTTGGTCCCACCGCAGTCACAGCCACCCTCAGCGCACCAGCAGCCTCGTGCTCCCCCCAGCGCTCAAGCAGTGGCACACTCCCATCAACAGCAGCGCATCCCGTCCGATGCCAACAAGCAATCCTCACTTCAAGTGACCGGCTTCACCGTTTTCTGCCAGCGTTCGTCTATGTCCCGCCGCGTACCTGGCGTCCAATGTGGCGCTGGCCCTGGTCCCTTTATCAGCTTTCGTGCTGACATACACTTGACGTTTCCTTCGTGGGACCCCGGTTCACTTTCGCTCTTTCACCACCTGCCTTCCCTGATACGTTGCCTCGTGTTTAGAGCAAAGAAGAGCGGGTGTCACTGCCAGCGACGATGTCCTTCGACTAACTTGGACAGGGCTTTCAAATGCCCAGCGCCAGCCATTCGAGGAGCTGGCGCGCCAGGTTCGTGTCCAGCAGCCCTGACTTGCTCATGCTATTCAATGCTAAAGTCGCGCAGTGCTCCACGTCCACATGTAATTTTTTTTTTTTGCTTGCTCAATTTCCCAGATTTTACAACGACATCGTCTCCAGCAACAGGCAGTCGCTGGGCCGCGCATGCCCCAGGCGAAGCCCGCCAGACATGGTTCCATATCTTCAGCTTCTAGCACTGCTGCGCCTCCTGCCAAGCGGGCGCTGGTGACTTTAAAGCCGTCCAAGCAGCACGCCGCAGCCACTTCCTCAACGCAATCGCAGACCTCTGCTACACCGCGGCACAGCGTGGTGCCGCCTGCACCAGGGCGTTTGCCGTCTCAACCCCCGTCTGAGCGTCAGCATGCGTTTTCACAGTCACCAGCACTGCAGACGGGGCCACGCTCATCCAGCAATCAGTCCCACCCACCCCCAACCGCTGTACAGCACGCACCACCGACGACCGTGGCAGGTGGGCCCTCGTTTTCCTTTTGATCATTGCGCGGGGAAGGGAGCGAGGGAGAGGCAGTGGTTGAATGTGCTTTAAACTTGGCGTGCTTATAGGGGCGGCAGGTCGTGCAGTTACAGACGCCATCTTCCTTAACGGGGAACTACAGCCACGCTGGATGATGAACATTACTCGGGGTCAACTGCGAGGGGTACGCTGTACTTTGGTTTCTTCGGTGCTGCACAAACAGCTACTTTCTTGCTCGTCTCATTCATGTTTCTGTGTCTTGATCGCAGGCACCAGGGGCTGTCAGCTGGACACACCTCCCTGATACGCTCGTGCGTGCCATCAATGTTTGTCACAAGCAGCATCAGACTCGCCAAAAGTTACATCCGCTGTAAGTTGAGCACGGCAAGCAAGATTAAGGGCCAATTGATGCGCTCTCTTCACAAGACTTTGACGCGATGCATCCCATGCATGTGTAGCTATGTCCACCTCTCTGGCGAGCTGTGTGCTGTCAAGGTGGATTTTGTGGGCCAACGGGTTTCTTTCGAGCTCAATCCCAGCCGCCAGTTTGCCATTCGAGCCACGTTAGTTGCGCTCATCGTTGCACGGTCGTGTGTGCGTGTGTGTGTGTGTGTGTGCAAATCAGCCTCAAGATCTTTGCAAACCTGTCGTCTTCTGACTCAACGATGCTCTTGTCAATACCAGATCGGAGCAACCCACACAGCAATGCAAGCCTGACGCAGAGAGTGTGGTACTTTATTCGTTAATTCGCCGAGTGCCATGGCCATTTGTTTTGAACGCCATCAACTCCTTGCATGAGCAGGGCGAGGAAGCTTCAAAAAGCGCCGTTTACGTGAGTGTGCACCCTTGAACGTGTCTGTCTTTCAAAAGCAGCTAGTCAGCTCGGGGCGACTTGAGCTGCACAACCCTTGTTCTTGTGTGCACGCAAAGTTTCTTTGGAAGTTTGGGGGGTCGGAGGAAGGAACGACCAAGTCGCTTTGTCTGTTGAAGCTCAATTGGGCTGCCCTCGCCCCTCCTTTGCAATACGTGCAACTAGGAGCTGGCGGATGAGGAGTACATTGAGCTTGTGAACCGAATGGCCATGTCTAAGGCTATGGATGAAAGTCGGTGCGTTTCTTTGAATGTTGGGCTCGCGGGAGTCCAAAACTGCTGCGAGGCGCAAATGCACAATTTTCGTGCTCGACACGTGTCATGACCAAGCATCGGTGGTGTCGTGGACAGGAGTCAACGTGATGTAACGGAGCGCGAGGAACGGGAAAAGGAAAAGGAGGCTGCTATCAAGCTGCACCCGCTGGATAATTCGGCCTTTGCCGATTCAGAACTCTTGCGTGAAGTGCGCAGTTCACGCTTGTTTCGACAAGTGGTGCGTTTCCTTGAAGCGGCCTGTTCCCTTGGTGGTTGCTTCACGCGACACATGCTCTTCTCACTGTTGTTATTTTACTTTGGAATTAGTGCGAGGAGGAAGCGGCGAGAGGCGCCGTGGGTCAGCTTTGCGATTTGGAGAAGCGCTTGATTCGCTGGTCAGCCCCGAGGATATGCGCTCATGGCTTGAGTCAAGAATGGCAGCAAGCATTTGTGCTGAAAGGTTCCTCATCCACCACTTTCTTCGGCATTGGGTGGAGTAGGTACAAAGGTCCAGCCTCGGCTTATTTTGCTGACGTTAGTCGTCGAATGCAGCAAGATCCAGCAGCTGCACCTGCCATTGTCAATGACGTACTGCGAGGTCAGTCGCGTCGGTCTACAAGATTTGCGACAGTGGTTACACATTGGTGGCTACACCTGTTGTCCCTGTGCCTTGGTTCGCTCATCACTGCGTTATTTGGCATGGGTAGTTGTCAAGCAAGAGGTCCTGCTGCGGCCCACAGATTCCCTTCCCGTTTGCTTTCACAAGTACCGGGATGTCGTGCTGTCTCAAGACAACGGCCAGCTGGCTGAGGTGGCGGTCGAGCAGGATCAAAGCAACGGTCAAGCGGTCGAGCGCATTGTGCTCGAATGATGCCACACAGCACACGTGGCGGTGGGCCCACACGTGTTGTTAAATTGCTGTTTGTTGAGATGGCATTTGCAGATACCACAAAGTCGGTATTGAGTTAGCCACGCAGGCGCGCTGCGCGCTGCCCTGCGTTCTGCACCTCCTATACCAACAGAAGTCAATAATTGGAAACACCGATGACTCACCGTGTCTATCTATGATGCGGGTGTAACTTGTGCTGCAACCATTGGATGTCATCACACACACACACACACACACACACACACACACACACACACACACACACACACACACACACACACACACACACACACACACACACACACACACACACACACACACACACACACACACACACACGCACACACACACACACACACACACACACACACACACACACACACACACACACACACACACACACACACACACACACACACACACACACACACACACACACACACACACAGCTGACAAATGCGCGAAAGGGATCTCATGTTGTGCTTTCACAATCTGTCGCGTTGAGTAAAAGAAAAGTGTGTGTTACACACACACGCGCGCACATGCTCACTCGCGGGCCACCCTCGAAGGTCGAGCTATTCAACTTGCGGTTGGGGTCACGACGCACGGTCGCTCGGGTGGTTGTCAGCCATGCCCGAAGTAGCCGTCACCACAACTGCAGGCATGGCGAGCACAGCCAAAGGCGGGTCGCTGCGAGCGCAGCTGGCTGCGTTCGAGACGTCTGAGCAGAACGGGTTCTTGCCCCTTGTGCAAGCCAAGGATGTTCGCCTACCTGCTGGCTGGCAGGAGCTCGAGGTGGGCCGCACACTGACCCAGTGCCATGCAGGGCAGGCGTGGTTCCATGGCGCGCCGTTCACAGCTCACATCACCTTCTTGGACGCAATCCGTGTGTTGCACAGGCCTTGTTGTCGCAATTAAGTACGGCCATGCAGGATCCCGAGGCCTTTCGATCTACGCTTCTCCATGCTGCGCAAGCTGTCTTGGATCCGGAGCAGGAACCAGAAGAGGTGCGGTCGAAGCTTCGATGTCCATGCTCGCGGTGCTCGCGTAACGCCTCACCACGCCTTCAACTTGACGGCATCTAGGCGCTCAGCCGGCTGCCCTGGCGTCAGCGAGCTCACGCCTATCATCTGTTGACCATGGCTACCAATGCCTATGTGTGGTGTGCTGGGGCAGAACAAGGACTCGACACAATCCCTGCTCCACTCTCCACCCTTGCCCATGCCGCCGGCAGGTTCGTGCCTTGACCCATCGCGAAGCGCCTTCCAGCTTCTGACTCGCCTCTCACCCGCTGAAAGCAACGCATAGACTGCTGGGCATCGCACCAATCGCCACGCACTACACGGTGGACATGTTCAACTGGAACCTACGTGATCCCAGTTTACCCCCGCTGGCCGACAACATTGACATTCTCCACTCGTTTACCGGCAGTAGGTCGATGTCGTTGCATCAAAGCAAGAGCTCACCCCATTTGGGGTTGGTGGTACGCCCGATGATGAGATGAGCCGACACGACTCAACTCATCCTGGCCAATTTTTTCACGAATTTGTGCACCTTAGCTCCCGACGAAACTTGGTTTTACGCTGTCACCACAGAGGTGAGCTTGCCACGCCTATCGTGGGTCGTGCCGACGCTATTCTCACACCAAGCTGGGGTAGATTGAGTACCGTGGCGGTGTCAGCCTGCAACACATGTTGAGTGCCATTGAGGCAGCCGCCAAAAAAGATAGTGCAGGTGAGTGATTGCTCTGTCAAGCGCCATTTGATTAGATTGAACCCTCATATCAAGCTTCGCCGCTGGATTTCTCCCTGGTCAAATACGCTCTTGCTGCGAAAGGCGTCACTGCTGCCCTCCACGGCGTGAGCGCATCCATCGAAGCCAGTCAGGCGGCACTGCACCGCATGCACGAACATCTGGACCCAGATGTTTTCTACAATCAAATCCGCATCTTTCTTGCGGGCTGGCGCAATAATCCCAATCTTCCCAATGGTGTTGTTTACGCCGGCGTTGACCACGAGCAGCCTCAGTGCGTTGAACACCGCCACTCGATCATGGCACTCTTCGTGCCGAGCCCTCACATAATCTTCGTCTTTGGCCTATGACATACTTAGGCATTATTTTGGCGCTTCTGCTGCTCAGAGTCCAGCCATTGCGGCCCTGGATGTCTTCTTGGGCGTACGGCACGGAACAGCGGGTGACGCGAGCACGGCCGTCGAAGATCCGGACAAGAAGACAGAAGTGCACTACCTCCAAGCTATGCGTCATTACATGGTGGAGCGACATCGTGCTTTTCTATCACAGCTTGCCATTGAGCGTGAGGTCTTGCAGCATTTCTTGCCCGAATCCTCACAGGCAGCACGCGATGCCTATGCTGGTGTGGCGGCGGCTCTCAAGGCTTTCCGCGACGAGCACCTCCGCATCGTAGCCCGCTTCATCATCAACCCAGCCCGGTGCGTGCGAATCATTGCAATGACTTGCAGTTCGACCAGTTGCCCACCGCTCTTTGTCTCTTGCCTGCAGCCCCCTGTCAATGCAACGTCGCTCAAAAGCCAAAAGCCAAACAAACACGCAACAAAATCAAGAACCAAAAACAAATTTGTCTCATGCCTCTTCCGTGCTTACCCTGCTTTGGTTGACAGCAAAGTCAAGGGTGACGGTGGACCGGCCGAGCGTGGTACTGGTGGCACTGAGCTCGTCCAATTTCTCAAGGATGTGCGACAAGATGGCTACCAGCGGGCGCTCAGCACTCTGAATTAACTCGGATGCCATCTCAACCGACGAAGAAATGCGCCTTGCCTGGCATGAACATTAAAAGCAAGCTTTATCTTCCGGTCGCGAGTCCTCCTGCGATGCTGGAGATGGGCACACGCCCCCTACTACCCAGCATGATATTTTTCATGGGGCTTAAGCAGCACTGTTCAGTTGGTGAAACATATCAACCAACATGTCAAAGTTTTCATCGTTGAGAGCATCAATCACTCGGGGAATATGAGGCTTGCCGTTGATACCCTGCCAAAGTAGCCATAACATGGTTATGAGTAAGCACGCATTGCTTTTTTTCTTCTTCTGAGCTCGATCACTCGTCTCGTACAGATACCATTGAGTGGGTATGCGCGAGCGCCTGGATTAATCCCCGTCTCCCTTGCTTCGTGGTTGTCAGTGGCTGTGCAGACCACGTCCAATTCAGCACAAACCGACCTGAGCCTTGGCCAAATCAATGTACAAGTCCGTAATAATGCCATATAGACGTTCCAGATGACTGGGGTGGGCTTCGAATGCGGCCGTCAATTCAGCCGCGTGCACTGAGCATGTATGACAGCGTGGCAGGGTGAGCACGAGCCAAGGCGGGAGAGCACGAAGAGCAAGGCCAAGCGACAACTCACCAAGAATCTGCTCATAGTCGGGCGTCAAGGCCTCGGCCTTGCCCTCTTGCGTTTCCAGCTCTTTGAGCGCTTGTAGAATCTCAATCTTCTTTGTCAATTCCAGCTGTTCCCGCAGCATGGGCTCCAGTAGCGTGATGATGTACAGCGCTGCTTCTGGATGGCAATCTGCGGAGAGACACGCATAGGAGGTTCGCCAGCGATTTAGCCTCGGCATCAAAATTTGGCATTCAAACGGAGATGGTGTAGTCTGGGCGTACCCGCGCTAAATTCGATGCGCGCATTGCTTTCCGTCGCGGCGCGTAACACCACATCACGGACAATGCAGAGAGTGGACCAGTTGTCAGCGCGCGCCTTGAGTGAGCCATCACTACGAAGTAGCATGTGCTTGTGAGACATGGCCACTCCCAGCAACTTACATCCGCGTTCTTTCAGCGTGCCAGAGGTCGCTCTTTCATGAAATTTACCTCACATCCAACTCCAATTGTGTACCAAGATATGATGACTCAAACTGAAGGCAGGCCTTTTGCGCGGACTCGGCCGCATTAATGCCAGGTAGACACCTGCCCAGCCAAGCCATGGCTTGATGCACGTCAAAGCTGCCTTTGAGGTTCAAGGTGCTCAATGGTCTACCATTAAGACACGCAATGTCCATGCAAGTCAGCGACAGATGCAAGTGGCTGGCTAGCTGACGAAACAAGACAAGAATCAGGGTCACACCGGTTCTCATCAATCGGATTGTTGGTGCGCTCGTGAAGGGCAAGCGCACGGATGGGATAGGAGAAGGATCGCGCCATGGTCATGGGAATGTCAAGAACAACAAAAACCTGCAGACGGGGGCACACCATAACAAGAAAACAGCAAGTGATCCATCTCGTCACGCCATTACACGCAGGCCTGAGTGATTGCGGTGCCGCATCAGGTGTCAACATGAAATGGCAGACAATACCTCCAAAACTCCGGCCTGGCCCTCAATTGAGCGGACCTATGCACAAGGTGCGGTCAGGATGCTTGAGGAAGCCGCTGTGTTTTTTTTTTTGTTTTTTTTTTGTCATGCCACAGCTCTTTCCTTCTATTGACCCTCTCGCTTCAAGCTACCAAAATGGAGCGATTCATCATGAAAGCTCCAGTGCAACAGTCTGGATGCGAAGCCTACCTTCAAGTTGAGCTGGGATGTATTGCTTTGGAATCGATAGGCAGCGTTGACTCCACGCGTAGCCTGTCGTGCCACCAAGCGGGTTTGATTTAGCATTGTTGAGTGTTTGCAAAGTAAGCCGGGAGGCTCAAAATGCATTTCAGAGAGCCATCTACCCACTTGGTTGAGGGTAAAGGTGGCCACAGCCGCATTGGTCTTGGCGTCCAGCAAATCCACGGCCACATCGCACGTTAAGATCACCATCTTAATGGCCACCGGTGCTTCAAGCGACAAGACGTAGCTCGCCTCGCGGGCGCGCAAGTCAAACTGGCAAGACATTGGTTGCATCAGAAGTTTTGGAAAAAAAAAAAAAAAAAAAAAAAAAAAAAAAAAAAAAAAAAAAAAAAAAAAGCAACAAATTGAATAACAACATTCGAGCGTCCTGGTGGGGGCATACAGCACATACCGAGTGGCGGACTTCCAATTGCTCCATCAAGGTGGCGGCTGTGCCCTTGCTTTGCGCAGCAGCAAGCTGTTGCTCAAGCAATGCAATGGACTTTTCCAACCTGATGATCCGAGGTGCATCGCCATGTAAAAGTTGTCTGGCCAGGTCAAGAGGCAATCAATTATGCCTGACATGCGCAGCATCGTTCGTACCGGGCGACAGATTGCTCGCCTCCCGCCACAGTGGCATCGCCTTGCAGGGCAGTGGCATAACTTTCTGCGGCTGGATCGGTGGTCAGACCCAAAATCTGACCATTGAAGGTGCCCACAACGACCTAATCATTGACACCACCAGGCAAAACCTTGAGACCGCATCGTTTTGATGCGCCCAGCGGTAATGACAAGAAATGCCAGGACTGGGCGTCGGTACAGCAGGCGAATCAATGATTGTGACGTGTCGGACCTCCGCATGATGGCGGGACGTCGCTTTGGCGCCACAGATGGAAGCAATGCCTGAATTGAATTTCTGTTGAATGCACCGTCCAAACGAAAAGCGGTGCAAGCAGAGTGAGATGCTTCACCGGGTGCCTGAAGCCCTTCAGACGAGATATCAAGAGTCATTCACTGTACCATGATGTAGACTTCTTCAGGTGGGTCCTCGGGGTGCTGGGAGTTGAAGGCGTAAACTTGGACGGTGCCGTCGAGCCGTCCCACCAGAATCTCTTCCACACTGTCACCAGAGACGTCATAGGCGGCGATGGCACTGACGGCTAAAGGCAAAGGGAGAATGAGAGAGAGAGAGGGAGAGGAGAGGGAGAGGAGAGGGAGAGGAGAGGGAGAAGGGAATTGTTTGTGCTTTGATGACGAGCCAGCTGCTGCTTTTGGTTTCTTGCTTTCATCACTTTCTCGTCAAGGGCCAACCAAACGACACAAACCTGCATCCTCGCCATCCGCCTCAACCATCCAGATGTACTGAAAGCCATTTCTGTTGGAAAGCGGCCAGGCGCCATGTCCGTGGACTGAGTTGCCCATGACGCTGGAACAGGGCAAGTGCGATCCAGACTTACGCGCCAAGCTGAATCAGGCCAAAGGAACCCTGCTGGGTACCGAAAAGAAGTCGCCCATCCGAGTCACCTCCTAAGCAAGAGATCACCGTGAGTTCAAAGAACGGGCGTGGAAAGCGAAGCAAGAAGGCATTCTTGCACAAGCCCATCTGGACTGACTGCCACATGCGCAGGCATTTGACCGATCTTACGTGTGGTGCCGGTGCAAGATGCCAACGCAGAAGGGACTTCCTGCAGGCTGATTGTCAGTGTGCATCGGTTGTCCTGAATTGGCGGTCGGCCGTGATCGTGTGAGAACGGCAACAATGAGACAAACCACGGCGGGGGGGGGGCGTGGGTGGCTCAAATCACCTCAAGCACTCTCAGCACGCGATCAGCACATGCCAAAACAGGCTGTGGCGGGCGTCCCGGTGGCCTGGCCATCAAAACGTCGGTAGGTGAATTCAAGGCGCTGGTGGGAGTAGAATGTGAATCGTTTCTGATGCAAGTGCAGGTTACGCCTCGACTCACGCTTGGGCTGGCACAAGTTCACAGTCATCGGGAAGCTGTACCGTGACCATGTCTAGGATGGTCTCCATACACATGTACTGGTGGGTATCAATGTTGTCGATATAATGGGAATAGACGTGCTCTCCAGCGAGCTGCAACGTCTTGTCCCGGATACACCTTGTGGTTGGGAAATGCGCCGGGAAAGAACACACGTCCAATCAGGATAAACGAGGGGTAGGCGCGTGTCTTTGAGAATCAAGGGACAATTCTAGTCCAACTTAAAACTGATCGTACATGTGACGAATGCGCTCGGCCATGAAGGTGGAAATGTTGAAAAAGTTTTTGCCTTTCTTGCTGTATCCTCGCACCTACGTCAGGGAGCAGACAAGAGAATGAGTTGCGGCGGCGCTGGGGCCGCGTCGACCAGGGTTTGTCGTTTGTCAACAACACGGGTCCTACTTCGGTGTTGGCCGCCACAAAAATGCGTTCCTTGTATAGAACAACGCTATCAATGGGCGTTCCACCAATGGTCTTGAAGACGGGCTGTGAAGGAGGTGTTTCACAGGAGCCAACAGAATGAGCGTGGCAGGCACAAGCAGGCACAACGCAGGCACTTGGCCGGGAACAGCGCCGACTCTGTGTGGAAGCAGAATTGTACCTGAGGGACACCCTTCTTGAGGGCGAAAACGCCAACGGAGCCATCTCGGTCACCCACGACCAACTGTGTCAGGGGCGGCGCGATAGGGTGTCAGCGGATGCATCTCAACAAGCCATGTTGGCATGGTCGTGTGCTCGTGCAGAATCCCAGTCTGACGGAAGAGCGCAAATAGATTGCGCCTCGCATCAGGATCGCAAGAGCTTACTTTGTCTGCATTGCCCGAGGATGAGGGCAAGGTCTGCAGACACTTGCGTTCAAGGCCCGGCACCTGAGGCGGACGAAACCGCAAGGGGGGTTGATTCGGGAGCTGAGGAGGCGGTTTGAAGAGCTCGAGGCAGCAGTGCCGATGACGGTAAATCTGATCGGCAAAGCCGGCACTGACCTTGAGGTACTCCAGCGGTGTCAAACTGAGCAGCATGATGGTGGTGCACACCCGTATGGAGGTGGAACGTCGCCAGACAAGGCCCCGGACCCGAGCTCGAGGGTGTTGACTCCCGGTGGTGTTGATGATAATTCAATTCGCTTGCTTTCTCGTTTTGCTTTCTTTTTGGCAAATTTGAATTTTGTGTGTGTGTGTGTGTGATTTCATGTTCCAAAGCTCGTTGTCAAGGCAGCTAGCTGTAAAAGATCAATTTCCGGGGGCAATGGCAGCGGAACAAAGGGGCCAGAACTGGCAACTACTCGACTGGACGTTCTTTGGTCACTCCAATCGCCACTTTGACAAAGGATATCAGAATGTTACATGGCAGCAGCTGATTGGTGGTGTGGGGCAAAAAAAGGCTCAACCAAGAATTTCGGTGCTTTCTTTCAACACCTTCAGAAACAGCGCTAAGCGCTCGAGACCTTTGGGTCCAGCAATTGCATGTGCCGACTACACAAGTATACAGGATGACAGGATGGCAAAATGGCACGGTGAGCAAGGGAAAGGAAGCCGAACCAAAGGCAGACCATCACCAATCCCCAAGGATGCGAGAGAAGCGAAAAAAAAAAAAAATAAATGGGATAAACTAACCTGAAGGACGGTGGCCGGTGCCAGCCAAGAGCAAACACCAAGCGTGGCTCGTGTCAGGGCGGGTGCATCTTCGATGCGATCGGAGAAAAGAACGACAGGTTCATTGTTGAAGTGCTCGCTGGCCGCAATGACAACGTCCTTGATGGTTTCAGAGGTCGCGACAGTTAGCATGGCAGACTCTGTGGCGGCATGGGCCACAAACTCGTTGATGGCCGCCGTCACGCTAAAATCGTAAACGCGATCCAAGTCAATGGGCGAGCCGATGGCTGGGTTGGGCAGCTGGCGCACGACGTCTGACTTGGCATCACCGCAGAAGGCGAGGATGATGCGAAAGCCCTGCATGACGAGCTTGGTCAGGGCTGGGTTGAGTTCGGCGGCGATGCTCTGGCTCACGGAGATGATAACGGTGACATTGCGCATGCCACAGAGGGGTTGGTAGGTTTCAAAGTGCTTGACACGTAGACCCAAGGACTCGACCTTGAGAGCGACTTTTTGCAGCTTTTTCTTGTCCACTCGTTGCGTGACTCGAGGGGGCTGACCATCTTTCAGGGGCGAGACTTTGAGCTTGCTAATCAGGCATTGATGGCCTACGGCTGTGACAGCTCCAATGAGGCTGCCCTGAACGACGGAGGCACCTCGAAAGCCCATGTTGTTGGCCTTATCAAAGGCCTGGCTGGGCGAGACATCTATAAGAGGGGGTCAAATCCGCAAGAGACGGCAAGGGTGTCAGTTGAAGGGGCGGTCAACGGCCCCACAAGAAATGACAGCCAGTCGGCCAGAAGATTCCCAAAGGAGAGGACGAGGTCAGAAGGGGGCAAAGCACACGGACGAACGCGGTCACCAACCGTGTTGAGCAGCAAAGGGGGGAATGTTGCATGGGACAAAGGCATCGAGCACGGGCGGACTCGGCTTGCGGGATTCGAGCCAAGCGCCTTGACTGTCTAGACTGTAGGTGGGCGTTTCGGTAGGCTGGGCGTAGAGGATGCGCACATCGGCAGGCAGGTCTTGACCTTGCTCGACGTAAATGATGTCGCCAACGACGAGGTGTTCAGCCTTGACCTCGGCAAAGCGGCCCTCGCGGAGGACCAAGGCGGGGCGACTATAGCGTTTCTGAGACCAGGATTGTAAGCCAAGGAGGGTGCTCTGAAGGGGGGCGAGTTCGTTGAGGCCATATTTGTCCAGGCGGGCATTGGCCACGGTTTTGGAGAGGCCCTGGCAAGGGTTGACACCAAGCAGGTCACAGAGGTCACTGCCTTGTAGGGTGTGTGCCGTCTTGAGACCCTGTTTGTAAGCGGCTGCCACGTCGGTGCCGTCATGCGCTTCTGGGGCATGGGCAGGCAAACTGCTCGCAGGCAGGGCCTTGAGGCAGCTCGTGGCACGATCAAAGAGGCTGGTCATGCCGATTGGTGTGAATGCTGATGAAGCAGAAGCACGGGCGCAATGGGTCAAGTCGATGGGCAAGCCCTGGAGGGACTCCGGCTCTCGAGGGCAGGTGCGTGATGGTTGATACACGAGCTGGGCTATTGGTAGGTCTGCACTTCTACTTCATTCCCACGCCATGATTCTCTGCACCCAGCGCGATCGGTCTGAAGGAAGGTCCGAGGGCTGGAGACGGCTGCTGCAAGCTGCGGTGACGATGGCTGGTGGCAACAGAAGGGGCTGGAGCGGGGGCTTTTCGGACCCGCGGCAGAAGAGATTGAGCGTGAGTGTGTACACGGCGAGAGAGAGAGAGGGAGAGAGGGAGAGAGAGAGGGAGAGAGAGAGGGAGAGGGAGAGAGAGTGTGGCAGTGATCCAAGCCAAAGTCGGGCAGGAAGAGAAAAAGATCAATCTGCCTTGATGCGCAGCGGTCAGAAGAGGGAGGAGAGAGAGAAGAGGGAGGAGAGAGGAGAGAAGAGGGATTGAATTGGTTTGAGGGAGGAGGGAAGAGAGAGAGAAGAGAGAGGAGGAGAGATGAACAGGGGAGGGAGAGGCTGACAAATCAGTTCTTTCAGTTCTTTTGTTTGTATGCCTGGTTGGACCTGTAGAGGCGTCTTGGGCTTGATGACAGTTGGTAGCTGGGTTCGGATGGGGGTTCTATGGGTCTATAGGAAGACCCCTGATGTGAAACAACTGTTGCGCACACCTGTTTTTGTGGCGGTGGCTTCGACGCGCGAGCGCCGCTACCAAGTGGTCCAGACTAGCATTGATTTTCATCTGACAATTGGCAGGCGAATGGTTTATGCTGTCTATATTCGGGTTTTTATCGCAATGTAGCAGGACAACCTTCAAACTACAGAGACTTTGTGCTGCCATTCTTCAACTTGATGCAGCCGCCACTGCGCAAAGTGGATCAGTAACCCGCCTTGTTGTTGTTGTTGTGTTTGCGGGTTTCATGGTGGTCCAGTTGAGAGAGACGAGAGGGAGAGAAGAGAAAGAGAGAGAGAGAGAGAGAGCAAACGAGAGAGAGCAAACGACGCATCCATCTGGTTGTCGCGCGCCCTGCGCCCCTGGCCTCTCCTTTCGTCCCCGCTGGAGCTCCACTGCCCTTGTCTTTTTTTTCCGCGTACTTGTACAAGGTGGGGTAGAGCAGAGACGGTGGCTGTGGCTCAGAGCTCGTGCCTAGAGGTGTTGAGCTCCTGGTTTTGCTGAAGCTCTTTGCAGGTTTGTTTGTTGCCTGCCACTGCCCACCGATCTGAACTGGCGAGCGCGCTCCTTGGGGTCGACAACAGGACTGGTGCCCCACCTTTTTGTCTGCACATTGTCTCATCAAACACCCCATCAGACCAGGCACAAGGGTGGGGTGGAGGAAGAGGGATCTTGTTACGCTTGCATCCAGATTTGCTTCATTTTTGTCGCCTGGCACCATCATTGACGTCATCTGCCCCTCTTTTTTTTTTTTTCTTTTCCTTTTCCTTTCTGTAGTACTCATCCAGTCAAGCCGCGCTGCAGCTTTGGCGCGCCAGGTGCCAGCTGCTGCCTCAGTCACAAAGCAGAACACCACCGCCACCGCCACACATCAAGTCCGCTCTGCCCGTTTGTTCCTGGTCTGTTATTGCCTTTCTCCCATCCTGTATCCTGGCATGACCTGCCAAGCCTTCGTCTTCTGAGCCCTTGCGAAAATTCGAAAACGCTCAACATGACTGGGCCCTGTTTGTCTCATTGAACATTGGTCCAGTACCTGTAGGGTGTGTGGCCTCAGCTCTCTATGCAAGGGTGGGCCGGCAAGCCAGCTCGATCATGGCTCGGTGCTTGATCCTGGCTGCGCGTTTTTCAACCTAGCCCCTCTGTGTGTGCACCGAACTTTCGCCGCAACACGCCCGCAAGCCCTCCCGCCTTGACCTGGATTTGCTGGCGACATGAGCCAGAAGCCAGGTACACACCTGCCTCATCTGCTTTGCTTGTCATGTATCCCTCTCGCCAAGACGAGCGCCCACAAGAGTCTTAGGGCGCACACGAGCCTGGCCAAAGGGTTAATTGATTCACCGGCGCTCATTCTTGCTACTGCAACGCCCGCTGGTCTTTGGCAGCCCTTCCGGCCAAACCGGCCGACTTACAAGTCCGACCAAGAGCCAAAACCGCTCCGTCAGCCTCTTCGAATCCTGCGCGGCGAAGCAGCGGCGGGACAACATCTGCGGCCAAAAATGGCGAACAAAAACAGAGTGGCACCGCCGAGTCACCTTCGACAAGCGCGCGAAGCTCAACCGTGATCGCACGCCCGCCCCCACCCAACAAAGCATCGCCTCCAGTACCTCGCCGGAACTCACCCGTCAACTCACGAGGGGATTCCAAGCCAGCGCGTCCTCGGTCTCCGAGCGCCTCGGGACCCAGTGGAGCCCACAGTCCATCACATGAACTCGCTCGTAGCCCCCTGGCCATCTCCAGTCCCGCATCTCCAAAACCTCAACCTCGACAACGCACCTCAGCCGCAGAGGGCGGCAATGCTTCGGCAACCAACTCGGCGCCCTCCTCCAACAGAAACTCAGACCAAGCCACAGAGGTCTCTCCACCGCGAGGCGCCCGACCTTCCCTTCGCCCCAAACCAGCTGCGCGGCGCATATCTGATGCACCGCCCGGCCATGTCACCACTCTTGGCGGTGTGGCAGACGCCGCGGCGGACGCCGCTCAAAGACGGCGCGGCTCGCTATCACCCACCTTTACATTCGACGCTAAACCAGCGGCCCCTATTGCTGGTTTGCGGCCTCAGTTGCCTCCGCGCCGCCAAACTGCAACGGTTTCGTCCTCCCATAGCCGTGATACGCCCACGAACAGTGGCACTGAGTCCAATCCGGCTGCCCCAGCCGACACCGAAAGCAGTGCCCAGGCTCCAATCATCGTGCCGGTGCGACCCAACCCCAAGCCGCGGCCCAAGTCTCAGGATACGAGTACTTTGCGCGCCCAGTCGCTTTCCATGAGCGAGGGATCGGGTGTTCCCGCTATGCGACCCAGCGTGCCTCGACGCACCATTTCTCAACCCGCTGCTGCCGTGGCAGCAGCGGCAGCCGCCGCGGCCAGTGCCCAAGCCGTTCCTGCTGAGCGTGGGCAAAAACCCTCGCCCAACGCCACCCGTCGCATGGCTCCCATCCCGGACGAGGTCAAAGCAGCGCGGCTCAAAGCCAGCAGCGAGCCTGCACACCCAGCAAATCCCCCGCCCCCACCGCCCTCAGACACACCCTCACGCACCTCAACCGAGTTGGCCCAAGACACCCGTGCTTCAGACTCAGCCTCCACGAGGAATTCCAGCTCCGTTGCAGCATCCTCGCCTCCGGCTGTGCGCGGCATTAGAGCCAAGCCTCATGGTGGGCGAAGCCTGGTGCCCCCGCCCCGCCCTCCAAAGGTTGCACTTCCTCAACATCTGGCAAGACAGGCTGAGGCAAGCGGTCGCCCGAAGCCTGCTCCGCGCCGCTCCAGCTCAACCTTCCTCTCAGCGACCAAGCTGTCCCAATCCTTCCGTCTGCAACCTCCCAACAAGACCTCCACAGATAGTAGTCCAACGCTGCCAACCCGCAAGAATAGCCTCCCCACAGATCTTGGAACTTCCCCATCCAAACCGGATGACAATGCCGAATCTACTTTGGAAAAATTAGAAGATGATCAACCGGCAGAATCCTTTTTCGCCGAGTTTTTACGACAGGTGAGTTGTGCTTATCCCTGTTTGGGCGCCTGACATGCTTTTTCAAGCATTTTCTTTTTCCTTTTTTCCTCCCTAATTACTGGTGCTGGTGCTAATGCTGTTTATTTATTTGTTTTTTATTTATTTATTTATTTTTTTTGGCAGTATCCGGATACCAATCTCCAAGACACCGACCCGTACGAAATCACCAGTTACACCGCCAAGAAGATGCGCAAGGCCGTCAAGTGTGAAACCAACCGGCATCGCCTCAAAAAGTATCCGAAATGCTTCAAGGCGCGGGATGCGATTGAGTTTCTCATCGATCGGAACGTGGCGGGTGACGAGCTTGAGGCCGTCCGCATTTGTGAGGGCATGCGTTGTTACGGCATGATTGCCAATGTGCAGGATGCTTCTTTTGGCTTTGAAAAGGTGTGTTGCCTCATTTCCACCAACGCATCCCAGCTTATCACGGCCCATCTCATTGTTCTTGAAACGCCTGGCGCCGTGCTGCGTTCTTGTTTGCACCTCGCTACCAAAGGGCACCGTGATGGCGTCGCGCCCCCCGTTTTATCGTTGGCGCGATGAAAACTTTTGGAGCAAGGATGGGCTTCAGTCTGCTTTTGGCTTTGAGGACACACGCTCTCTACCATCGGTTTCGGCGTCGGAAGACTCGCTAAGCATATCTTCAACATCGCGCACTCATGAGAACAGCGTTGCCTTTGTCAATCTGGGGCCATCCACCTCAGTCCCTCCCGGTACCGCATTACCTCCACCGCCACCGGCGGCCATAGCCGCACCCCCCAGCTCCAATTCACAGAACGCTTCAGGACGACCCTCGCCCATGGCTCAGGTCGCGGCGACGAGTCTGCCCCACGTATCGTCGTCTGATCCCGACACTCTGATGAGCCAAGCCCAACTCGCCTTTGGCATTTTTGGCAATCCTCCTCCTCCAACGGCCTCAACCAAAGTGCCCAGCACTAGCGCAACATCTACCACAACTGCCAGTCCAGCCTCCAATGCTGCCGCCTCTGCGCGTGCAGAGGCGCGCGCCTCGCTCGTATCCGCCCCCACACCTATTGCAGCGCCCATCGGTCAATCCCGGCCAACATCCGTGGCGCTTCGTCCTCCTTCAACCGCCCGACCTCCTTCTACCATGGCTGTACCATCAAGCAAGCCTGTGGGTGTGAACAAAGCCCTGGACGCTGCCGTGGCTGCGGCCGTGCTTTCACGCAAGACTTCTGTGGCCACTGCATCCGATACAGCTGTCAACGTTGAAAGTAACCCAGTTGCCACCCGCCCCCCAGCGAGCGCGACCTCGGCGAGTGTGACCCCGACGAATGTCACTCCAGCGAGTGTGGCCCCAGTTGCTGCTGCTACCCCCTCAGCCACGCCTCCTGTCGTGACAAAGCCGCCCTCAGACACTTCGAGTGGGAAGCCACCGGTTCTGCCGCCCAAAAAGCCCACAGTTGTTGGTGCCGCAGGTGGTTCAGCCTCTGCACCTGCGGCCGGTGCGCCACCTGCATCAGCACCGCCCGGTTTGGTGACTGGGGATCAGAAAGCGTCTTCCGTGTCGATACCAGAGCGCGGCTCGCCGCCGGACACTGCCTCAAATGCAGACGCTGACGTCAACCCACCGCAGCGGACGCCCTCAATCGCCAGCCTGGATTCAAACTCAGACTTTTCGGATCTAGACTTGGACTATGAGTTTGATGATGCTGATTGGTCTGATGATGAAACTTTTGACGCCTTGCAGGAAAGTCAGAACAGCACACAGAGCAACAGTCGATCCGTTCCTGTAGCTCGCCGCCATCAACCAGCCGAGGACGCACCAGCAAGGTCTCGGTCACACGGTGCTGGTGGTGATGACGATGACCTTCACTTTGAGGAACCAGACAAACATCTTTCGCCATCGGCAGGAGCCACGACCGTGTCCATGGATTATGGCGCCCCAGTCCAAATCGACGAGGCTGACTGGCATGATTCCAGCAAGGTCTATGATGTATTTCGCTCAACGGTGCAGGAAGCCTTTAACAACCCATCACGGTATGGCGATAGTGACGCTAGCAACGGCACTCGCCCAGCCACCCCCTGTTGTTTTTCTTTTCCTCCTTTCTTCTTTTAACCCTGTGCATGCCCGTTCTAGCCTCACCTGTCTCTTGCTTTGTGATGGACACTGTCAGGGATCCTATTTACGAATCCGTGGAGGAGTGTCGGCCGGCGGAGATGACAGCGCTGCCGCCACCAGCCCCGGCACCCATATCCGAGCTGCAATCAAAGCTTTGGCGCTATCGCCAGGATGTCATTGACTCGGGTATTGCTGATTCCATGACCAAGCTGGAGTTGCGGCGCCAGGATGCCATCAATGAAGTCCTCGAGACTGAAAAAACGTACAAGGCAAACCTCGCATCGTTCAAGAAGGTGAGCATCGTCTTGGGAGCAGGGTTGCCTGCTTCTTTGGGCGCCGTTGAACCGCACCAAAGCTCATTCCCTGTGGGATGTCATGTTCAAACCAACAGCAATTCATCGTGCCCCTCCTGGTGGCCGCTCGTACCAAAGTGGGCGATCAAATGGTCAATCGTGCATCGGATCATGATGACATTTTGTCCAAGGACATTGTTGAGGATCTTAAAGACGTGAGTTATCGTACCCCCGCTTCACTTATTCAATTATGTAATGTTGCCGAGTCAAAGTGGTGCTTTAACCGTAATATCTCGCTGTCAATGGTGGCTATGAGCTAACTCGCGCTTCTCGCGTTCGTTCATGATGTCTGTGGCAGTGTGTCGAGCGGTTGGAGCAGACTAGCAAAGCTCTCATCGATGACCTTGAGGAGCGGCGTAACGAGAATCTTGTCGTGGAAACCATCGTGGATAAGTTTGACTTTCATTTGGATGCACTGCGCCTCGCGCTTACCTACTACAGTCGTGTGGCACCTCCGGCCATGCACCATCTGGGCAAGAACTCCAAGCAGGTGGATCTCTTCCTGCAACAGTTCTCCGAAGCTAGTCATAAGGGTTTGACGATCCATAGCTATGTCATCGAGCCAGTGCAGCGCGTCGCGCGTTACCCACTGTTGATGAACGGCATTTTAGCGGCAACCCCCGAGGACAGTGAGGACTATGCGGCCATGCAGCGATTGATCCAGCAACTCAGCGACGTGGCGGACGAGTGCAATGAGATTGCGCGCATGGAAGACAACTACTTGAGCTTGTTGGAGCTTGAGGAAACGCTGGACATGAAGGGCCATGAACCTATCGCAGGGCCTTCACGAACTCTGATTCATCGAGGCCCCGTGAAGCGTGTGCTCATCAAGGATGGCCGTGTGGCACGAGTTAAGCCGGCTGAACTTGTGCTGCTCTCGGACATGGTTTTGATTCTCAAGAAGCAGTTTCTTGGATCAAAGAGCATCATTAAGCGGCAAATTCACCGCAAGCGTGTTCGGATCCAGGACCACGAGGGCTTGCCCGGGGATCGTCCCGAGGCTCAACACTTATTCATGCTCTTTCTCAACAAAGGGCATATGGCATCAGATATGGAGCCTTTCATCCTCCATTGTAACACCGCACAGGAGAAAACCAAGTGGCTGGAGGCTTTTGATCCGCCACGCGACGAGTCAAACTACTTGCATTGGGATTGCCCGCAAGTCGTGGCGATTGCTGACTGGGCGCCGCAGGACAGCGAACAACTCCAACTGAACATCGGCCAGATCATCAACGTGACGCGTCCTGACGAGGGTGGGTGGTCCTATGGCTACTACGCTGATCGACCGCGCAACCGTAGGTTGAATCCGGACAAGCTCTTCCCGACCAATCACACCATTACATTCGACCCTTCAAGCAGTTTTGCTCATCTTTTGCAGAGTAGCGTCATCTAGCGCAGCGCGTTGCACCAGCTTATCGGTAGCCGACCTCATCCTTTTTTGATGTCTTGAGGCCTCGTTCACTCGATTTCTTGATTCATCCCTTTTCAATCGTGTTCTTGTTTCTTCGTTTAAGCTAAGCGAGCTTCGGTGCTGCATGTTGCGTGTCAGCGAGTGCATCACTGGCTACACGATCCTTGTTTTTTTTTCTTTCCTTTTTCTTTTTTTTTCTTTGCCCCCTTTCGTCGAATCAAGTCTGGTCGTTTCTGTGGCGGTGCAACCCACCTCACTACTCGGCTGCATTCGTGTCATGTCTTGTGATTGTGCTTTGTTGGGGCCCTAATTTGTAATAATCTTTTCAATGCTTTTGCTGGTTAAAACGTTGAGACCATTGATAATTGACCTTGTCTGATGTGGCCTTTGTTTCTTGCTGGAAACGAGACATTTCCAGAAGGAGCAGAACACACACAGGTATGGCACGGCCATGGTCTGGTCTTGTAAAACAAAAGTAGGACGTTAATTTGTGTTGGGTTACGTCTGAAGCATGTCACTTGCCAGTGCGAAACCCAGGCCTGTAGGTCGGGCGCCCGCTCAGCGGCCCTTGTCTTTGGCCATCTTGTCAGCGTGTGCACGCACACGTTCTTTTCATGCCCGCGGAGGCTGGTCGTGTGTCGATGCCTTGCTCTCCGAGTCTGCATCACGATCGTGCCTTTTTTGGGCGCTCTCGCGCTCGAGATTGCGAAGGCCGGGAGGCAGCTGCACTTCTTGGTCGTCGCTGCCAGCATCCTCCATAAACTGATCGTAGTCATCTAGTCAGATGGAAAAGCGGGATCAAGCAGACGCAACAGTTTGGTAAGAGCAAAGCTCGCCGACAAGCACGGGTTTGCGAGACACATTGATCACTACACACGTTTTTCTTTGAAAGGCCGCGTGCCCAGAAGGTCCACCATGTCCTGTCGGCTCAAGACCTCACGGTCCAAAAGAAGCTGTGCCACCTTCTCAACGGCATCGCGTTTCTCGGTCAAAAGCTCCAACGTTCGCGTAAATGCCTGCGGACAGCGTGCGCAGTGTGGCAAGCCGCCACGAGATCTACATGAGTGCGCACACCGAGTAAACGCTTCAGAAAGTTTGGACGTGGCGGACACGATGACCTCACCGTCTGCACAAGGTTGCGGGCTTCCTCGTCGATCATTTGGGCCGTGGCTTCTGAGTAAGGCTTATCAAAGGCGGGCTCGTTGTCATCTGGCATTTTGAATGAGAGGTTGCCTACCTTGGTGTTCATACCATACACGGCAATCTGTGCGCGAAACCACGAGTTGGCATGAGGCAGCCCCAAAGCTTTGTAAACCAGCGCAGTCAAGAAGATACGGCAGAAGGGACCGCATGATGGGTGCAGGAGGAGCTTGCGTCGATGCGAACGCATACCTGTGAATATGCTAGACGTGTGACCTTTTGCAAATCATCCTGCGCGCCCGTCGTAATGCGCTCAAAGAAGATTTGCTCCGACACTCGTCCGCCCAGCATCATGCACATGCGGTCCAAGAGCTACGGCGTATGTGAGCTTGAGTAAAAGGCAAGCACCCGAAGTAAAAAAAGTAAAGATAAACGATAAAAATACCTGTTGTGTTGAGAACAGAAAACGTTCTTGAGGGAGGTATTGTGCATAGCCCAGCGCAGCCGAGCCCCGCGGAATGATGGACACCTTGAGCAGCGGGTCGGCATGCTCAAGGTACCAACCACACACGGCGTGCCCGGCCTCGTGATACGCAACGGTGCGCTTCTCCTCCTGGGAGAGCACACGTGTTTTCTTTTCCAATCCGGCAATGACACGCTCAATGGCCTGTTCAAAATGTTGCAGGGTGACCTCGGGGGCAAGGTAGCGGGCTGCAATCAGAGCAGCCTCGTTGCAGACGTTGGCAATGTCAGCACCTGGTCTCGGTGTTCATGTGAGCAGACGACACAAGGTACAGAAGATGAGAGACACATGCAAAAGGTTGGATGGGCCTTGGCTTGGGGGAAGGGAAGTTGGCTGCAGGTGGTTTACCTGAGAAGCCAGGAGTCAAAGTTGCGAGCTTCTTAGCAAGGTCAGCCTTGTCTAACGAGGCCAAAATTGGCTTGAGGTGCACATTGAAGATGGAACGGCGTCCCTATTTGGTACGTTCAAGACGAATCTGTGGGTGATTTGGGTGGCAAAAAGGCAGCCGCTGGTACCACAGCACAGAAGGGAGGAAAACAAAGACGGGGGTGGAGGGCTACCTTAATGTCGGGCAAGTCAATGGTGATCTGGCGATCGAAACGGCCAGGGCGAAGGAGGGCAGGATCGAGTACATCGGGGCGGTTGGTGCCGGCCAAAACAACAACGCTGTCGGAGCTGTTCATGCCGTCCATTTCGACCAGCATTTGGTTCAGAGTATTCTCACGCTCATCATTGCCACCGCCAAAGCCTCCCGACTTGGAGCTGAACACGCCCGAGATGCATTCAGGGGAGGGTGAAAATAAATGAGATGTGCCACGCGTGGGCGAGGGGGGTTCAAGGTTGGGGCCTCACACGTAAAGACAAGAGAAGGAAAGAGAGGAAAAAAAAAAAAAGGGAAAGAAAAAGGGAAAAAAAAAGGGAAAAAAAAAGGGGACCCCCCCCCCCCCCCCACCCACCAAGCCAGTGCGTATTTTCAAGTAACAGTTCTTACCGAGCACGACCGACGGCATCAATTTCATCGATGAAGATGATGCAGGGAGCATTCTTGCGGGCTTCAGCAAAGAGGTCTCGCACGCGAGCAGGGCCAACGCCCACGAACATTTCCAAAAACTCCGAACCCGAGATTGAGTAAAACGGTACGTCAGCTTCACCAGCCGTGGCCTTGGCCAGAAGTGTTTTACCAGTACCGGGCGGGCCCGACAGAATTGCACCCTGAGCGCACGCATACAAAGCAGGCGTGAGTTGGCCGAGCCCTTGATGCAGAGCGATATTGAGATGAGGTCTGAGTTTGTCCAAGTACTAATAATGCTTGAAATCGCGAATGTGAACCAATGCAGCTGACCTTTGGGATTTTGGCACCCAGGCGTTCGTACTGTTCCGGGTTTTTCAGAAAATTGACAAATTCCATGATTTCCACCTGTGCAAGGCCAAAGGCATGGTATATTCATGAGCTCAGCTCCCCTACACTCGAGAGGCAGCGTCAGAGAAGATTCGACACAAGGAAGCAGAGTTACAAACCTTGGCTTCTTCGCAACCAGCTACATTATCAAAGCCAATGTTGATGTTGGTTTCTTTATTCAGTTGCTTGGCAGTGCTCTTGCCAAAGCCAAAGATGCCCTGGCGCGAACAAAAACATGAGTGAACCAAGAAAACGAGGAAGCGAGAGGGACAGCCATGGTGGAATGCTTGACCTACATTTCGTCCACCGGGTGCACCCATGCCACCGGTCATAGAGCTGCTGGCGCGGCGAAAAAAGTAGATCATAACGCCAACCACAAGCAGGGTTGGTGCAAACTTTAAAATCTCTCGCCTAGTTTGGGTAAACACCCATGCTCGGTTAGATTTATGTCAAAGCGTTGATGGCAGAGCAAAGTATCATAAAGAAACGGTACGACAGCGGACAGCTGGCACGTACGCCACATTGGTTTCGGAGACATAAGAAACGGGAACCATTTGTGACGGCAGGGCACCGAGCTCACGCTGAGCACCGTCCAAGCTACGCTCAAAAGACTCCACAGAGCCAATGGTAAAGTAGGCGACGGGGTGGGAAGGCTGCAAACAGCACGCCCACGCAAGCAAAGGTGAGACAGCACAGCACACGAAGTCAAGCCCTTGTGATGGGCACGGCGCACGCCAACTCATGACGTGGTAAATGAAGCGCGCGACAACATACATCCGGCGAATCGCGCGCGTACACCTTGGCCACTGCCTTATTTGCTACCACGACATGGTCCACCTGCAGGATATACCACAGGCATTGTGTGCAAAAACGGTGCACAAGCGATTTCGCATGCGCATATGAATAAACCGAGACAAACCAAACCAACATAAAACAAAAAACAGAAATACCACCCCCTTGGGCAATAGCGGCTTGAGTGTGCAAAAGCACAGTCACTCATATTGCCTAAGCCCGAAAATTGGAGGCGCATAAAAGTACAGGGGCACACGTACCCGGCCAGTCTCGAGGAAGTTGCGGCGGAAATCTTGCCAATTGATTTCGCGCATGTTGGGTTCAGATGAGAACACAAAAAGGCTGGTGATACCGAGAAAGCCAGCCGTGATGAGAAGAGGGCGATTTTTGGGATCTTGCAGCCACTTGAGAATCTCATCTTGGGGCTCCTTCTCAGGACCACCCTTGTCGCCACCCTTGTCGTTGTTGTTATTGTTGCCTTTACGGGAGCGGGCTGAGCGTTCTGCGTTGGCCTCGGATTTGCTACCCGAGTTGTCCTGACGTGACTCGCCGCGTTTCACGTCAGTTGTGCGGCGTGGACCCGAGCGACGAGGAAAAAAATTCTCAAACCCTACATGCACAAGGCAAGGCGCACACCCAAAGTTGGTAGTTTCGGAGTGAGAGGGAGAATGCAAGATCACCCGCTGGTGCCTGGAAAAAAACAAAAAAAAACAACAACAAAAAACAAAAAAAGAAGAACAAAACCCATTCAACCCATTGAGCACCTTTGGGTGGGTCAGCCAGAAGGCGGCGCAAAGTGTGAAAGCCTGCCTGTGATCAAGGTGGAGGTTGCAGGCCATGTCGAGTAAGACTTAAGCTGAAAGAAACTACCTCACTTCTCAGTTCAATGAGGACAACGAGCCAAAGGGATGCCAGTGCAACCATGACGGCTGGTTGTGCCTGGAAAAACCACAAGATTAAAGGGGTCGCATCTTACCTGACGAGGTGTCGAGCCAACGGCTGACCCGGCCACGACTAGTGAGGTGCCGCAAGAAGCGCGGGCAGCGATAAAGCACGGGCCATGAATATTGTCATGAGTCGTGGGTATGCGAGGCCACGGTGAACGCAAAACAGGCAACAGCCGGGTCATGGTGGACCACCTTGCTATCCCACCAGACAGGAAAGAGGGAGAGAGAGAGAAAAAAAAACGAAAGGGTGTGTGTGTGGTGGGCCTGCTATGGGCTGAACTTACCAGTATGCAGGCGCAGCGCGCAGCCCACGCGAGTCACGGCTCGCAACATGACGGCTGGCAGTTGCAAAACCCAATGTCTGCGGCAGGGAGCAATTGGCACGTGTGAGATGTCTATTTCACCTCGTGCGCAGTGTGCAGTGTGCGCGCCGAGTTGGCTGGAGTCGTCAAGCAGGTGTCCAAAAAGGCGGTCGTTTTGTGTGATGTGTGTGCGTCGCAGATGACCCCACATACCACAGAGGTGGCGCCAAGCCAAACTGACAACAAAGGGCACTGAAACAAGTAGTGCCAACAGCCGTACCGCGAGCAAACACGCCCTGCGCGACCCGGAAGCCCAAGGTTCACCGAAAAAAAAAAAAAAAACCAGCGGGGCCTGAACCAAGGACCAGGCAAATGCAGGCTTTGCGCTTCCATCCGGCAATGAAGGGGAAAGCGCAACAACACCAATGTACAACACTAAAACATCAAAACACAACAACACAGCATCCCAAGTCAGGGATGTAATGTGGCGTAACGTCATGGCAGAACGTTATGATGTGTCGCATCAACGGATCAAGTTACAAGAGGTAAAGTTAAGATTGGGGCATGCTGACGCTCATTTCTTTGCTGTTGCTGTTGCTATTGCTGCTGCAGCTGCGCAGGTCGGTGTGAGTCGGCGCGGCTGTCGATTTCGGGTCGCATGATGGTCATGGGCGCTGGTTGGGAAGAATGCAGTGGTCTAGTGGGGGGTTGCGCTGTACGGCTGCATTCACGCTTCTGCCCAACATAGATTGGAATACGACGCGCCTGTCCTGCGACCAACTACACTTCTCGACCACCCATCGGCAGCATGTCGACCCTTCGCTTGTATCGCCAACTCTTGAAGGAGGCTCAGGGCCTGGCCGCTTACAACATGCGGTGCGTTTTGACGCTCTCAAACAGGGTATCCTTGGATTACATTGCTCACTAAAGCCGGTGCCGCGTCTGCAGGGAGTACGCCAAGCGTCGCATCCGTCAGGGCTTCAAGCTGCATGCGACCGAGCAGGACCCGGCTGCCGTGGAGCGCTTGCTCCAGAACGGTCGCGAGCAGCTCGACCTCGTTCGCCGCCAGGTATGCTTGTCCTTTTACAATTTTACTCTTCTTCTTAGTGCATGGCCACAGCGTGCGCATTTCTTGCAAGTTGCCTTGTCTTGCATGGTCGTCTAGCCAACAAAACTCATGCACAACGTTGTGCCGATAGCGTACCATCATGCAATTATGGCAACCGACGGCCTCGAACTACGTCCTCCCTGAAGCGCAGCGCGCCCATTAAACAGACCGGAACAAGGGCGTCCTGTTCCTTATCCTCCCGTCATTCCTTGAACCCCTGATGTCTGCTATTTGACCGTGTTGCATAGTCCCTTGACCGGGCTTACATGCCTGAGACCATCCAATCGATGTACCCGGAAGCTTTGTGGTGCTGGTTCGACAAAGGACGGTTCCGACCTCTGATATGATGCCAGGTTCATGTTATCGACTGAAGGGGGGCAGAGGCAGCGACAAAACTCTTATGTAGTCTCCGTCAAACTCTTATGTACTTGGCGTCAGGAGGTAGAAGGCGCTGTCGTGAGATCCCAGGCCAGCCACCTCGAGTGACTCGGAGCTCGTTCCAACATTGACATGTTGCCAAAGGTCCCGCACCGCAAAACGCGTTGCTGTGGTAAACACCTCAAGCCATGCAAAGTCGACTGTGAGCGTCAGGTTGGAGGTGCCCGCCGGCAGGTTGTTGACCACAAAGAGGGCCACGCTCCCATTTGGTTGCGGCTTGGCCCAGGCTTCAGCCTGGACGGTGACCACGGGGCTTGGGGCTGCTGCCCGTGCTGCCAAACACAGGGCGTCTGCCGACTTGAGTTGGCCGAGGTCAGTGAGTGTAAAAAGCTCGTTGCTACCATTGTGAAAGGGGTACATTTGAACTTGAGGCCCAGCCGGTTCTCCGTTGCCAGCCCAAATATCTAAACACGTGGTTGAGCCGTGGCTGCACAAGCCTGCAGGCTTGTTCAAGTTGAAATCAAACCGCTGAGCAGGGTCACTGGTGTCACACTCCTTCACTTGCACGTGGCTGCTGTCTGCGCCGGAAAGGCAGAGCTCTTGGGGGGAGATTACCCTGCCCGTCTCTGAATCGTACGACCACCGCTGCTGTGTCATGTCCGCATCGTCGCAAGCCACAGCATAGACAGTCGTGCCCATCACCACTGGTGGAGGGGGCGCCGTGTCATTCCAAACGTGCACCCGGGTACCGGGATGACCCGCATATTGTTGATTAACAGCAATGGCCTCCCGGTTTGATACAATGTCCCAGATGCCATCCACTCGGACGTCATCAAGCAAATCAAGTCCCAAGATGAGGGGCGAGCTCACGACGCACCAAGCACCAAAGTGCGCGCGATTTTCCTCATAGGTGCCCAGGTTCCCCACTTCCAACATATCCGGGTCTACCAATGCATCGGCATACCCAATCACGTGAGAAACAAAACCGAACCAATTACATGCAAAAAAAAAAAAAAAAGCAAAGCCAAGTAAACAAAAATTGCGTTCCTAACAGCCAGGCACGAAGACAACCATCATAACAGCCTTGGCTTGAGAAAAGTGCCCCCCCCCGGGCAGAGAAACAACGGCTTACAGGCCCAACACGACGGGTGACTCAAGGGTGCCTGGCCTTGGTACTGAACAGTTGTTTGGAGGTTGCTGAACACGGAGCTCCAAGTTGAGGTAATGTCGGTGCTCGTGCTAGTCCCCATCGCAGCGGCGTTGCATGAGCCAAGCAAAGAGAGGTGGGCCAGAGCGAGATGGGACAAGGCAGATTTTGCACGCACCGGTACCAATTGAAATCGCAGGTAGCACTGGGATCGGAAGGCTGCGCCGTGTTGTGACAGTTTTCGACCAACACCTATGTGCACACGCACAACCATACAACCATGGTCAGAACAGTATAGGTCAGCGTGCACGATTGAAGGCGGGATTGCTACATGTGGCAAGGATCACGTGTCTGACGTACTTTGCGGCCCGTCGCATTGAGGAGCTGGGCCCAATAGTGCGTGTCCTTGAACTGAGAGCAGCCATCGAGCTTGACGCCATCGTAGCCGTAGCGCGTCAGCGCGTTGACAAAGCCCTTGTAAATGCGATCCACAAAGTCCGTGTCCGTAATGTTGGTCACGGAGCAGATGCAGTTGTTCATGTACCAACCCACCTAGGCAGATGCTACCGTTCGTGAGCCCCTGCAACGCTCTTGCACGGCGATGGCATTGGACGAGACAGGATCGCAGATGCATGCACCTTGAGTCCAAGTGCATGACCGTGCTCCACCATGGCCGTCATGTTGGGAAAGCGATCGGTATTGATGAGTGGTGTGCCGTCTTCTGAAAAAAAGCTACCTTGATGGCCGGCGCCACAGGCTTGCCAGTTGTCGTCCAGGCCCACATCTTGATAGCCTAGATCGTGCAGACTGGTGGGCTGCCCGACCACCAGCCGACTTCGGTTAACCATGGCAGCCATGACGCTCTCCATCTTGCCTTGATCAATGTCGGCATGGTAACAGTTCCAGCTGCGCCAGCCCATGGCCGGCGTCTTGGCCTGACCATACGGGCCCTGCCCATGCACGACGCCGCCCATGAGCAAGGGGATCAGCAAAACCAGCACCATCATCCTTCTTTGACTTGTACCAAAAAAACAAAATAAAACATCAACAGAGCAAGAGAAGATTTCACTGCGTTCGTGCGCTATAATCTTATCTGACAAAACAGACGAAAGCAGGAACATGATGACATTTGGGTTGCAGCAAGAAGAAGAGAGAGAGAGAGAGAGAGAGAGAGAGAGACCAGAGAAGAATGAATTGGTTTGGTCGGTTTGAGAAAGAGAGAAGTAAAGAGCAAAGACACAGGAAAAGAGAACACAGAGAGAGAGAGAGAAAGAGAGAGAGAGAGAGAGAGAGAGAGAGAGAGAGTCAGGTGCTGCGACGTTTTCGCCGATCGGAGTGTTGTCAGGTGCGAGCTGTGACTCGGGTCCAGAGTTGCAAGGTGTTCGCCCGCTCGCTCTCCTCTGGCGGTCTTGCATTGGTCGATAAGGGGGTCCTGGCTGCATTCGTTGTGGCATTTGCTTGACCTTGGTCTGACCACTTTTGGCACTGGCTGTTTCCCCGACCAGGCTGTGAAGGGTTGAGCTCCAGCTCTGCACGCACCGCCGCCATGTCGGCCCCGGAGATGCTCGTTGTCTCCTTCAAGAAGGCGCACAAGATTTATCGTTTTCGGCACACTGACCGCCATGCCAAGACCAAGGAGGAAGCTCACTTTCTGCTTGACGTATGGCCTGCCTATCTTGTCGAGTGTCCGTCTGGCCAAAGTCGCCAGCTGCCAGCTGTCAGCCCAACAGTCACCCGCGCCGTGCTGCATTATGATAGAAATTGCGCGAGGCCTTGGCCCAAGCCAAGATCAAGGATGCCATTTGGCAAGAGTCTGAGATTGAAGGCCCAGAGATGGCCAGGGCTGATAACGCGTTGGTCTCCGACTCAACCAGCGCTCAAACCACCTTTTCGACAGTGGACAACACCCAAATGACGGTGTGTTGGCCCGGTCATCGACCTTCATCATTTGCCGACCTTGTCCCCTTCCCCCTGCTCTTGCTTCTCCGTCGTTGCTCTCCAGACTCGACGAGGGGTCTCACTCTCTTGGCTTGGCGGGTCTTTGGTTTGGTCAATGCAGGTTTGGATTCCATCTTTCGCCGGTGAAACTACGGAGCGGCTCCTCTCCATCATTCAGGACTTAGGCATTGGCGAAGCCAACTCTAATACGATGCTAGGGTGGGTACGGCGTTGTTCAGTTTAGGCTTGTTTATCTCACAAGCACCCCGCCTCCCCGGCTCTGGGTATTTCAGCTCATCATGGCCGCTGTGTTTGCTTTGTTGCCAGCCTGATGCCCATGGTATTGCGTCTCCCCGAACGCTCACCCGATGAAGAATCCAAGAAAAGTGATTACATCAAGGCTCGAGTCACCATTGTGCAGGTAGGCTGCTCTCGTCCCTTCTCAGGAGCTTGGGTTTGATTGGAGCCGAGGGCACCGAACTTACAACGTCTTTGACCCCCGCTGGTCGTGATGCCCTAGATTATCAACGGTCTCAAGGGGAGCGCCGCACTGACACTCGACTACTACGGCCTCTGCTTTGCGGCGAGGTTGGGCTCACCTCGCGATTCCGAGCCATGCTTGTCCCAAGTTTAGAATGTTTCCACCACAGTTGTGGCATCCACACGCTCATGAGAGCAGCCGGGTCAAGAGTGATTCTGTTCTGTCTGACAGGCTCATGCCTTCTGGCTTGCGTGAATTAGCATTATTGCTGCCTTGGGCCTGGGCCGTGATGATACCGTGGCTACCGTGGCCAGTATGCTCATTTCTCCTCTTATGGTGCGTCGCACATATTTTTCTGCCGTTTCGGCGTATACCTGCCTGCACAAACACACAAAGTCCCGCAGCGATCCTCGTCATCGAAAGAGTACAAGTGCAGTCAGGCATTGGGCCAAGACTGCTTTTCTTCTTGTGCATTGCCCACCACCGCTCGCGCCTTGGCCGTACTCATCAATCCACCACTGCATTTGCAGGGTCCCATTCTCGCGTTCACCTTTGGCGTCACCATCCGAGAACCTGATCTCATGTACGTTGATCTCAAGACGCGCCCTTCATCATTGTGTGCAGTGTGACGCTTTGATTTTTGGATCTCCCTCGTCGCCCTCCCCAACAAAGCGTCGTAATCGCAAAACATTGCTCACACGATTCCATGTCGCGTGGTTTTTTTTTATTTGTCTACTTTGCTGTATGCCGGCCCGTTGGTGTGCGGAACCATACGAGCAGTCGGCAAGGACTGATTTCCGAGGCCGTGGGCCTTGGCATGTGCTTTTTTTCTGGTTGGTTCTTGATGGCTGAGCTATTTGACCTTGCGGGTCCCACAACGACGGCAGAAGTAGCCAGACCACATTTATTCACTCTTTGCCGCGCGTGTGGCTGCAGGTCTGGCCTTTGGCCTGGTTACAGGCTACTGGGGTCCCGGTTGGGACTTTCCCAGCGAGTTTATGCGTAGCCGGTGAGCATTGTGACAATTCTGGCCGACGCATCTTTATACCTTCTCCTGCAAGATATGCAGTTCTCATCAACATTTCTTTGCCTGCGATCGGACGTATAGCGGAACCAGTGAAGGTTTGCTTGTGGGCTTGGGCATTGCCATTCCCTCGGGCATTGGCGTTGCGCTTTCGGTTCTTGGAAACAACACGGGCAGTCTGGTTGGCGTGGCCATCTCGGCCTCACTTTTGCCCCCCGCCGTGAACACCGGCTTGCTCTTTGGCTTTGGCATCGTGGCTGCTATCATGGGCGAACCCGAGCGAAAAGTGTCAGAGTACTTTGAACTGGGCGGTGTCAGCTTTGCTTTGGTCTTGATGAACATCTTGGTTATCTTTGTTATGGGCATTGCGTCTCTCTACGTCAAGAGCGCCATTCCGGTAGGGAGTTGTTGGGCTTGTTGTCTTCTCTTGTTGTCTTCTCGATCTACCCTGTGCCCCTCGTGACCAGCACGCGTTTCACCAACCCTTCTTCTCTTATGCTCGTGCCTGTCAGAAAATCACCGGCAAGAGTGAGCTGTGGCACCATCAAATTCCCGTCTACCGCGAGCATCAAATCAACCAGGGTAAAACCTCCATCAAGATGGCCAAGCAGGTCAAGAAACTTGTAAATGGTCAACCGTTGGAGGTGTGTGGCACTTGTGGGGTCAACCCCCGTTGCGCTGGTGGTGATACAATTTCGGGAATGACGGCAAGCTCACAGGCGTGTCCGTGGCCCCGTGCCTGGTTCAGACGGTGGCTGAAGAGGAGGATGTCAATGATTATGAGGATGAGCTCCATGCCATGCGCGCTGAGCAGCTCGAGGCCCAGCGTCAAGCAACCCTCAATCCGCGCGTCAAAGACTTTGGTGCGGCGTCATGCGGCCGCACACGCCCGCTGCAGTACACACTATTAGTAACATCATTGTATACTGGCGTGCATTTTAGACTCTGAAAAGGCCTTTTTGCCACTCAAAGGCTCTGCGCCATTCCATCCTCAAGGTACGAGTGGCTCTGCGTGTGCGGTGCGGCTGGTAGCGTTGAATGCCTTTTCTTCCGCTCCCTCAATGTCTGTTTTCACCATTTTAGCTCTTCGCCATCGCCACACCGGAGCCGGAGCTCTGGCCCAGCCAAGTAAGTTCTGTGTCGCTGTGGTATCCCCAGCATGCTTGACGATTCAACAAACTTTCCTTGTCCACAAGATGACCGCATGGGAGGGGGGCTGCCTGCTTTCGCTGGATGATTGACTGAGCACGGATTGCCATCGCTTGCCTGCTTGTGCAGCCGTCCATGGCGCCACATATACCACGATTAATCAGCGAACACAAAACCGAGGTCGCCTGGATCCTGCCCTTTTTGACGAGCCAGGCCTTTCGGACCAGCCCAATGCACAACCATCCAGTCGAGTCGTCAAGGGTGCTCCTGAAGATGCCGACCCTGAACAGGAGGGACGACCATCAGCTCGAGTTGTGCCGTCTTGGAAACGCGACGAGAATACCACGGGAGACGTACCGGTACATGCACCCCACAAGCGAACGTCTACCGTTCTTCGTGAATCGCTTTACCGGCCTCCACGTGCCAGCGGGGACGATTTAGATTCTGAGGCAACGGTCAAGGAGTCCGCTGAGCAGCCGAGCAGTCTAGCCCCGCTTGTGCAAGCGCTATCCCGCCACGGACCGCATAGCAAGGGCGCAGCAGGCACGCCGGACGCCGGTGTTGCTCCAACGAATGGTGCGTCAGATGGCGCTCAAGCTCAGCCCATGAGTACCATCCACACGCCAGTCGTTGTATCGGATAGCATCTTGCCTGATAGCCAGCGCGTGCTCCCACCCGATGCCATTTCCACGGCTTCCACTTCGGCAGACGAGGGCGCCGAAGTTCCCGCCGCACACCGTGCCCAACACTCAGATGTTTAGCCATGTGAGACCTAGACGTGCTGGCTCGGCGAGTCTCGAGCCAAGTGTTTCTTATTTTGCCATCTTTCTCTGTCGTTGATGTCTGGTCACCAAAATTTAAGCGGTTAGCTCAGAGAGATGATGATGTGGAAGGACAACCATATGGGTGTGCACGCAAATCAATTGGAATCGTGGTATCGTGGCGTTGGGAGTGCGCAAGCAAAGCTACAAAGACTGCGTTCGTCCCTTGCTTGATGCTTGGGCGCGCGCTGCAAGGGCATGCTCTTCCAGGATGATGCTGCGAGCTGCAATTGACGCTTAGGCCAGAACAGGCAGATGGGAGTCCGTGGCAACACCTGTGGCAAAGTAGTGTGCCGATGAGAACGAGGCAGCCCGCTGAGCGATCAGTCACAACACTCTTGCACCGTACCGCAGTTGTTGTCCTTGCGCGACATGAGGATGTAACCGTTGTCGCCATAGTGCGTGGACCAGCTGTCATCGCGCAGGCACAGGCACCATGTACACGGTGAGAGATGGACAGGAGGGGAAGGGGCAGACATTGGGAGCATAAAAAAGGCGGAGATGCACCAAGACCCAATATATGTGTATGTATAAAAATGCGAGCAATAGTGTCGTACCTGTTCTTGACGATCCAGTAATCGTTGCCCAACTGGTATTACGCGGGCGCAGGGTATTGGGGTGATGGACACACAGGTAAGCAAGTTGCGCAGAAGGCATCACCCAAGCTGGCGAAGCAAAAGCGTGTTGGCAAGGCAGGGTGCAAACACGTACTGCGTCAGTGCCATAGCCAACAGCCAGAACGGCGTGGTCAAGAGCGTCAGTGGTATTACCACAGTCCGCGTCGTAATAGACACCCGAGCTGTAAAAGTTGAAAGACTACATGCACAGGATGGGATTTTTTTAAAAAAAAAAAAAAAAAAAATGAGGCAAGAAAAAAAACGACAAACAACGACAACAGCGGCAGCGACTTTGGGAAAACGTACACGCAGCGAAGCGTCAATAGCAATGGCGAGAGGACCCTTGGTGGCCAGGGTATCCAGGACAGTGTTCATGTCAGCTGAGGTAACATTGACGTAAGTGGCAAGGGTTGCGCCAGGAGTCGTGCCCTTGCTATGGCAAACGCCATCAGCACCCTGGTAGAGGCCATAGCTGGCCGCAGTCGGGATGAAGCCATTCTCCATGATCCACTCGTAAGCACTGCATATCCAATGCACGTCCAATCACTCGACGTCAGAAATGGACCAGGTAGTGATGGGTGGCAAAGAAACTAGCTCTCTCTGGTTGGTGTGTGCATAGGAGATAGCCATTTTGAGTCATACCGGAAAGCCTCGCCGCCATCGCACGCGTTGTTGCCGTAGGACCAGCTGCAGTCCATTAGAGACTGCTGAGACAGGGGTTGGAGGATACCCTTTTGAATAGCCACCTGGCCTTCGATCGACTCGGCCGTACCAAAGCTCCTGAGAAAGGGGTGGGTGAGAGGAGAATTAACGGTGAGGATCGCACTGCTATCCATGTCCGGAACCAGCGCGCAAGCTTGATAATCTTACCAGCATGAGCCGCAGATGGCTTGGTCCTTGACCTCAGTGACAGCGCCCTGCTCACGCCAGTCCACGAAGGTGGGACGAGCCATGGATTTGTCCTCGGGAATCATTTCACGCTGCAAGTTATCAAGAGGGCAACGGCGAGATTCAGCGAGATGTGCTTCGAAGCAGCGGGGTCAACTCGAGCCAGTCGGCTATACATACGTGCTCACGAGTGCTGTAGGTACCACGCAGGGCCTTGAACTCTTCATCCTGTTGGGTGAAAAGGTTGTCCAGGACGCACGGCAATCAAAGGAGGATCAGTGATGGCATCGGTTATATATGAGTTCAAACGGTCACGTCAGCAGGGCTTGTCTCGAGACGTACATGCCAATCGGCAAGATGGTTAATCGCAAGCTTGTAGGTGAGGCCGGCACGATTCTTGCTCTCGATGTAACGCTTGTTGTGCATAAAGTTGTGGCGGCGTTGCTGGTGCTCCACAGCGTCGTCGTAGGTCTTGTTGAACTGGGCCTTGTGCAGTTCATACTCGGCGTCCACGTGCTGCGAGCGAAAGAAAGGAGTTGTGATGCCACGCGCACAAGACGGGAAACACAAGCGGAGACTTTGACGACAAGGCAATGGGAGGTCAACTCACGGCTTGCTCGGTGGGGTAGTCGGCAACCATCAAGACCGAGCCGTGCTTGTTGGACAAACCGGGGCCTGGTATGATGTGGCGCAGGCACAAGGATACACAAAAGTTGAGAATGAGAGTTGAATTGTGCAAGGATGAAAGCGGCGCCGTGTGCTGACCCGGGAAGTCACCGCAGTCCAAGTCGGCACGAGGCTCAAAATAGGCGGCCGAGGCATTGACTGAAGGCTTGAAGGTGGAATAGATGACGCGGTACTGATCGTAGTGGCTACCGATCAGATCTAATTGGGTGTGCAAACGCCAGCACAGTGAGCAGAGGAGAAGGAGGCGGGGCAGAATAGAAAAGAAGAGGGGCTACACGAAGTGGACTCGTAGAGTCAGTTGGACATGAGTTGACAGCACGAGGACTATTCACTTCCACCCACGAACCATCGTGCCCCATCATCTCAAAGCCAAGGGGGTAGTTGGAGACGGCGCTAAAGTAAAAGTCGTATTGGTTGTTCTTGGCGCCCACAGTGTAAGAGAACGAGTAGTGGATGGCGGGCTGGCCGCGGTACGTGGTGTTGCCGATCAACTATGACCAACCCACACGTGTGTTCACAACCATGACCCATGAGAAAGAGAGAGAGAGAGAGCGCGCGCGCGCGCGCGAGTGTGTGCGTGTGCACGAGGTCGGTCAATGATAAAAGCATTTCGTAGCGAGGTGAGGCACAATATGGTACGAGAGCGCGAGAAAATCGTACATAGGCGTCGCTCAGGTCGGGGATGAGGCTGAGGACGTCGATGGGGGAATCAGCGGTGCCGTTGGTGAGGAAGCAGGCATCAAAGTTGCCGCGCTCGTTTGTGTGCTCGGGCACCTCCTACAAGGTGAACACATGAGATTGGCGCACTTTTTTTTTTTTTGGGGGGGGGGGAACAATTTGAGGGTTCTCTCATGAGGGGCGGAGCAGCCCTCTAGAGCCCCTCGGAAACGGAAATGTACCTGGAAAAGCTTGCCGTGGGGTGCCATGTCGGCACGGTAGATGTAAACATCCTGGCCTGCGCCAAATGGGGCGAAAAGGCCAACGTGTGAGCAAACGAACCTCGGATTGGGAGGTGCGGGGCCTCGGTCAGGTGACTGAAGGCGCTCAGAAAAGACGGACCGTTGTAGTACTCGACGCGGCTGCGGCCCGCATGGCCATCAAAGGCAATGAAAACCGGCTCGGTAAGGCCAATGTAAGGGAGCTCGATGATGATATCAGCCGTGTATTGTGGGTAGGTGGGGGCTGCCGCACCGGCCAGCGCCACCGCCGTGCACAGGGCAGCTACAAGGACTGTCTGGAACAGCGCCATGATCTATTGTAGCAACAACGACAACAACAACGACCCGCAGCTCCGTAAGAGAACGCGGGCAGCTCTGTTCACATGCCTCCGCCTGCCAAAACTCATCAATCATTCACTGACCGCAATCCCGAGAAAAAAAAAAAAATGAATGAGACCCAGCAACAAGCGTCAAAGGTGCGGCTTGGTGTGTGTGTGTGTGTGTGTGTGTGTGTGTGTGTGTGTGTGTGTGTGTGTGTGTGTGTGTGTGTGTGTGTGTGTGTGTGTGTGTGTGTGTGTGTGTGTGTGTTGTTTCCACGAGGTTATCGCCTCTCTCTCAACCCAATCTCACTTACTCTGTTTGTGTGTGCCTGCCTGTGTCTCTCTCTTCTTCACTTGCTGTTCATTTGGTAACCTGCTGACGAGCGAATCTGATTGATATGGGGTGATCATGTCTTAACATGTACATCCGGATGTACAGTCACATCGGATCTTGGCTGCATCTTTGTGCACTTGGCGAATTGACATGGGGTTGATTGGTGCTGGAGGGCTCAAGGGCGCTTCCCCAGGGGCGGCCGCTGTGGGGCTATCAGTCGCACACGCGTGGATAGAAGAGCGACACCATGGTTCAGGTCGTCCTGATCGTGGCAGCACCCTTTTGCAGCCCCTCCCTCGTCGCGAGATGCCATTACCTTGACCATGCCTACGTGAGCAACTTGGACTGGGATAAGCGGCAGGGCGGGGTTCAGGTACGGCTCGACCATGACGTTCTCCAGGAAGTTGTGGAGCACTTGCACAACGCAAATCACGTCTGCCTGTATCACACCGAGCTTCGTCATCCGGACTTGGCCGAGACCTACATGTCACGGCTGCTCAAGCTCACGCAAGTCCCCATTCAGTTTCGCATCCACCATCTTGAATCACAAGGTGGGTGGGCGGGTGGCAAGTTCCAACCGCATCTCATCAAGTGCAAACAGCCTGTTCTCACCTTTCTGCTGATACACCTGGGTGCGCAGCCGGACAGGGCCAGACCCTGCTCCAGGGCTACTGGCACACGGGCCTCCTGGCCCGGGCCTTGCTGCTGGAGCCTCACCAGAACCCAGTCCAGATTCGTGCGAGCGGAACCTTGCCGCATCAGTTGAGCCATGCCTTGGAACGAGACCTGATGCTCCTGGACAATGATCGTGCCAAAGCTGATTCGACTCGCACAGAGGGCGCCTCTGTTGCTGCCACGACGACCACGACGACCACGACGACCATGCCCTTGGTAGGACCTCGCCATCGATGCTTTGCAGAACGTGTCCACACTAGCACCATCGCATTGCTTAACGCCGACATCTCACGCTCACCACAATATTGCTACCCTTGACACGACGCTGCAATCTTCGCAGCTTTGTCCAGCAACCTTCGAGGTCAGATCAGCCCTACCTAGATTCGTTGTGATTCCCATGAGCATGGACCCGTGGCTACCAAGGAGACAAGAGCCGGGTGGATGCAGGGATTTTGATGCGCTCTATCAACCCGCATGTTGCTACTGCGCTCACTTCTGTTCACTCGGTGCGCCCTTTCGTAGCTTCCAAGTCCGACCGTCTTTGTGGAGCTGGCTGGTTTCCTGCGGCTCTCTGAGCATGAGCGCTCGACCGTAGCCAACGCACTTTTGCTCTGGATGGCACGCTTTTCCAACCAAGAGTGAGTCTACGTGTGCCCTCTTAGCCTGCCATGCATGTTTGTCCTGGCCCCTTGCTTTCCGCACCGCCAGCTTTCCTGGTCCTGGTCACTTCTTCCTCAAATCCCTCCTCTGCTACCGAATGCGACCCCCACCACACACACACCCACACACACACATACACTGACCACGTCTGTTTCATGCCACGCACGCAAGCATAGAGGACAAGGGCCGCCTCTTGTGAGCTTTTTTTATGAAGGTCCTATTGCCGACGGATGGTATGATCAAGTGCGACCGCAACTCCAGCTCGTTTCGCGTCAAGTGCTAGCGCCAGTCCTGTGCTGCCTTGTAAGGGCTGCCGGTCAGCTGTCCGAGCCCAATGCTGCGTTGGTTCTAGCCGCCGCATGGGGCCTCAACCCGCGTCAGCGTGGAAGTGTTCTTTTAAGCAGCCAACCAGCAGGTCGTGGGTGGCGCCACCAAGTCACATTTCAAGAAGTGCTGCTCCGGCCCAGCAGCCTCACGCATCATCGATTTCGTTCCACTGGCTCGGCGTCCACATCGCAGGCGGACTGCCCCACCACAGCCCCTGGCATGGGAGATGCGCTTCGATATCTTGCCTTGTACACCCCTTGCACCTTTGCGGCCCAGTCTCACTACAAGGCGGGCACGCGCAAGGATGCACACGTTCCACTCAACCTGGATGTTAGAGTCCTTCTTGAGCCCGAGTGCTGTGCCCCGCCTGCAAGAGCCTGGCCTCTGTTACTCGCTGGTGCCCCGGGCGAGACAAGCAGCGAGGTGATGCTTCACCACCAAGACATGCTTCTTGGCCTTGTTGTCGACAATCCGGCCCTTGTTGAACGCGTTGCGGGGCTCATCTTGCAAGCCGCTCACCGAACAGATGCACAAGCTCTGAGTCCCATCTATCAGTGGCCGCAGGAATCCCCATCTCCATCCCCTCTCAACTCGACAACTTTGCCGGAACAGACACATGATGATGCCCGGATCTTATCAGCTGACATCATGGCTCGCTGTGGCAGCGAGGCTGTCTTCCAGCGCGCGCAAGCCTGCCGTCAGTGGCTTGGCACGGTGACGACCGACGCCCCGCGTACCACGTGGTGTGCCACTGCCCTGGGGACTCACGAGGAACGCTATAAAGTCCAGGTGGTGTTATCTTCGACGGCTGTGCAACATTTCACCTGCACCTGCCCGGCCAGCAGGGGCCTGTTTATGTGCAAACATGCGGCTGCGCTGGCGCTGCAAGCACTCGAGCTACCGCAGGGTGATGTTGACACTGCCAGCTCGACAAGACATTCGACACCCATATCAACGGACTCGGACCTTGGCGTTGAGGATGCAAGAAAACTGGCTGATTCATCGCAATCACCAGCTGTCTCGACACGAACCCCAGCCTTTGACCCGCGAGCTGCCCCCGCTTCATCCAGAGGTGAGGCGCTTCCTCCAGATCTTGGATCGTGCACCGTGCGCAATGCTTGCGGTAGCGCAACCAATGCAGCTGCAACACTCCAAACAGATCCATCGACTCGACAAGCGCGTGATATTGCTGTACTGCCGTCTGCTGCTGAGCGTCCGAGAAGCAAGAAGGACAAGCGCGGGCATCGGGCGTGGTCGACCAGTGGGCTTCCCAGTCCCGACCAAGCGCGCCCCCGTCGGGCTTTGCCTTTGATGTTTCAGACTCGCCCGTTGCGAGCAGATGAGGAGACAACGCGCACACAGCGCCGTCATGCACCCAACACCAAGACCGGTGCGCCCAAAGTAACTCCGCTTGCTTGCGCGGCTGCAACTGAAGAGCCCCGCACTGACGCTGAGCCCCAAGCTAGCCAGGGCAGTGTGTCTATAGCCGTGCTGCGCGCGGCATTGCAAATTGCTCGTCATCGTGGTGTGACTGGCTGTGCACTTTTTGTGAATCACACGGGCAGTACAGCATCAACACGGCTCAAAACTCATCACGACTCTCAATCTGCCCAAAAGCCTGTGGATGATGTTGAGCCACAGCCAGGTTTGCGGATCATGGAGCCAGATCCGCCCTCTAAGCGAGCTTCAATAACCACTACCTCGAGCACAAATCCCGTTCCAGACGACCTGGAAGAGGCAACACTTGATGTCGATAGGGACGTGGACGTCGGCGTCACGCAGGATATTGATGAGGATCCCAAAGCAAGCGCCATTGGTACTCGGGAAATGAGAGATGACCCAGTGGACTTGGGTCCCTCCACCGGTCGCTCTGGTCATTCGTTGGGTTCTGATGCTCCACCTTTGTACAATACACAAGCTGAGTCAGGACCGCATGCCATTGCTGACCAGGATTTCAGCGATGACTTGTTTGGGTGACGATCCCAACAATGTGCACGGCACTGAATTCCAGGTTTTTTTTTTTGTTTTTTTTTGTTTTTTTGAAGTCAAAATAATAGTGTTGTGATGATCAAGAGTCAATTATCTGAGATTAAAACATTCGGGCATCTAATTATACTACTTGGCCCTACCACGCTGTAATTTTTAGCAGATCACTGAGGCCGTGGCACCCTGTTGGCTGGGAAGCTCGTTGTCGTCCCATTCCAGTTCCCGAGTGCGCGCATCCAGCAGCACCTCGGTATGGACAGCTGACGCGCCCGCACGGGCACGGCCGAGCAGCGAGGTAGGAGGGAAAAGTTGCCCGCCATCGACCGAGGCAAGCGCGTGCTGAAGTTGGCCGGTGGGGGGGGCTGGGCGCGTGGAAGACCTCGAGGATACGGTGTCAGCACCAGAAGAGGGGGTAAGAGCCGAGGAATTGTCCTGACGAGACTGGTGCAAAACGTCAGGCTCGGCTTCTCCGTCGTCCACCTGTAGAAAATCAATGACGGCATCCACGTTTCGAATGGGCAGATTGGCATCGCCCGACAGGACCACCTCACGGGCCACCAGAATGGTGAGCTCATGCAAGGTGGTATCGCTGAGACGAGCCAGCAAACTCGCTGGGCGGTTCAGAAGCAGATGGAACTTGCACAGCGGACAGGTGTAGTGATCAGTGAGCCAGGTGAGAATGCAATCTTTGTGAAAGCGATGAGTGCACGGTAGCTCAAGGCAGTGCGGCCCCAGATCGTCAATGCAGATGACACATTCTGTCGAGCCCGAGTCGTCTGATTTGGTATCAGGCGCCCGGGTGAGCATGGATGTCAAGGCGGGGCTTAGGGGGGTCAGCAGCGATGGCGATGCGGGCGCAGTCGACGAGGCAGGGGAAGCGGGAGGGCGTGAAGACAACGGAATGGGGCCTAAATCTGAGGCGGGCTTTTCATCCAGTGATGCGGGCAGAGTGCGAACACGATCAGAGTGACAGATCACGGCCATGGCATGGCGGATCAACAGGGCCCGCTGGCGATGCACGGTTCCCTGTTCGGCCTGGTTCCAGTTTGAAAAATAGTAGCGACGTCGTTTTGCAATGAAGACTGTGATGACGCAGACCACGGTCAAAAGAGCGAGGATGGCTAAGATCAACGCGGCATGAAAGGCAAAGCCGTTGTGTGGTAAGGCATCAGTTGCGCTGCCATCCTCGGTGGTAGCAGGGGCAACGCTCGAGGCTACGCCTGATGGGTGAAAGGACGCAGTGGGGCGTGCGTTGGCTCCAGACAGCGCCAGCCGCCAGAGATTGGCCCCATCCGGTCCCGTCACGGAGACGTGTGCAAAGTCGGTCCAGACGGGCAGCTCCACCTCGGTGGCGGTGCGTTGGAGGACGCGAGCATAGCTTTGGAACGAATCTTGCGGGATGCTAATGAGCGCGGCGGCGCCGGCTTTGCGGAGTTGACGAGCTAGCTGATAGGGAGTGCAGGTGGCTGAAAAATTGGCCGGGGCTACCACAATGGGGTTATTGGAGGCGCTGCTGGCCAAGAGCTCTTGCAGGTCAGGGTCGGGGGACATGGCACACTGCAAAGGGTGACTCGCTGCCACGAGAGGCCCGACAATGGGGGCGATGGGCATGGCATATTCCGCAAACACTGCCCATGCATCAGCCGCTGGGGAGACCGAGGAAGCAGTTGTGACACGTATGCGACCATACAAATTTGCGACATCACGCCGCGCCACGATGGTTGGCACGGCCTGAGCCACCCCGAATAAGGTAACCAAGCCGAGCAAGAAGGCCCAAAGCTGACAGCACTGATAACGCCGGCAAACCTTAATGCCCAGGCTGTTCATGGTGATGGCGATGGTGGGGGAAAGGGTGGCAAGGGGGACGTGAGCGCTTGGCTGCACGGGGTGCTGGCGCAGGCTTCAATGGAACAAATGGATCACCGGCAGCACTCTCAGCGCCGAGGGCTGGTACACAGGCTAAGATAAGAGAATCTGCATTCGGTGAAAAAAAGCAGCTCCAGGGCTTGCTGGGCAGGGCACAAGTTTGACTTGGCACTGCTGGTGGAGCTGATGCGTAAAGTGCCGGCCGTGCACATGCACGTTGCTGGGCCCGACTTTAGGGCAGAGGGTAACTACACTGTTGCTGGGGCGGGATGAGGACAACGGCAACACCAAGCCGCTCCATGGCTTTGGCAACGCCTACACAGCACGCTTAGCACACGATTGATGCTGTTGCCTTGGGTGCAAGCGTGAGGCCCAGTGTTAACAAGTATCGCGTCAGGCACAGCAAAGACGCGCACACGAGCGTCAAGTCGGGGTCAAGTACGGCTTGGAGTCGTTCGCTCAGCAACGCGTCTTGTTGCATGCCGGCACCCGAGACTTCATGTCACACCCTTCGTATGGCCAATGGACACCATGATGAGAGACGGCCAGAATGTCAGCGAGAGAGAGGTTTACTGTTGACAACATAGGTTCTTAACCGTTGCTTCTGGCTCAGGGATTGTCTGACATTTGCGGGTCAAAATCCCCCTCACACCTGTCGAGGGCAACTCCATCTCCTCTCTCCTTTTTTTTTTTTTTTTTGCTTTTCTTCACCTCACGGAAGGTTCATTCGATGCGACTGCCACCATGGTAAGCAGCTGGCTGGACCGCTCAGTGCCTTGCACGCGAACATCTGCACGGGTTGCTTCGCGAATGTGCTTGACTTGCCCCTCAATTTGGTTGCGTGTGCACATCTTTTTTTGGCTGCCTCCCGAATGGCCATGCGCTCGCAGTTGAGCATTTACGACGATGCGCCTCGTGCCGCGGCGGAGGGACAGCACCATCACGAACGTCCCATGCCTTCGGGTAGGTTGGCGCTTGCCTTTCTGATCGAGGCTTTATTTTCCCACGGGGCGCATGTCAGCCCATAACATTGTGGGACACTGGTTCTCACATTGGTGTGACGATGCACTCCGCTGATCTCCACTGTAGGCCCTGTTTACGATGCCGTGGTTGAGGCTCGTGGACTCGCAAATCAAGTTCTCGACAAAACCCTGGTACGAAGGGCAGGTGGATTAGACTGACATAGAATTCTGGCCCTGGCTCGATTGTAAAACCATAAACCTAACAAGGCGTTTTTATCTGTTGCCCCGACCCGTTTCTTTCTTTCCAGAGTACACTCGAGCAAGTCCAACAACGGGTCGACCGGATCAAACGCTTCCAGCAAGGCGTCTTGACACGTGTGCCAGCAGAGGAGCGCAATCCCGTGGGGCTCGGAGTAATTGCCCTGGCTGCGTTGACTGGCACTTACACTTATCCCAAGCGTACGTCTCAAGCCAGCACCCCTGCCCACGAGCCTGCCCGTGTCCGTCTGCGGCCTGCTTCTAGAGTCAGCCCCTCACCAGCACCTCCGCCCACAACGCAGGCCCCTTCTTCCGCGCGTTTGTTGCGGTTCCTGTCATTACGGGTGTGGCCGCCGCCGTCTGTTACCCTGAAACCATGTACAATGTTAGTTGTCTGGCTCAGCTGCGGAACCTTGTTGTCGAAAACCATTGCAATTTCTCGCCCGGCCGCCCCTTTGCCGTCGTGCTCTTCTTGATTCTCACTTGCCATTGACTGCACGTGCTGTTCTTCCCCTGCTTCCGTCAGTTTGTGGCAACCGGCATGGCACATTCTGGCGCCCCAACCAGTGTTCCAGAGCTGCGCGAACGCCTCCCCTCGATCAAGCAGCTGCCGCAGCTGGCCCGCCGTACTGTTGAGCAAGCACCGACTCTGGAGGAGGTTCGTTTTTCTCCACCGCCAATCTGCCAAGACGCTTTTGTTGCATGGTCAGTTGACCACCTCACTCGCATGTACGACATGCGATGGCTGCTCCCATTTTTGTTCATAGGTCTCTGGTCGAATGACCAGCTTCTACGACTCGATGAGCTCCAAAATTGCGTCTGCACCGCAACCATCCAACCCAGAAGCCTCCAGTTCGGTGACTTCCCAAGCCGATGAACCGACGACCACTGCTCTTGTCACGGACGAAACTCTTCTCGAGGCTGCTTCCGCAGAGCCGACAGTAGCTACAGAGGTTGCCTCTGATTCTCTGGACGAAAGCGATTCTGCCGCGTCCTCCTCATCCGCAGACCCGGCACTTCACGACGTCATTCTGGCCACAGCCGATGCCACAGGCCAGCGCGAAACGGACATTGAGCCCGACTTTGGCCAGGCATGCAAGGATGACATGGACACGTATATCTCCCGTCGCTAAACACGATTTGCATCTTCGTCGCGGGCAAACCAAATTGACACCAAATCAATCATTAAATTTTTATTTCGAAGAGGAGCACGATGTAAAAAAGTCTTACATTTGATGACTGTGCAGCAATCTGTTCATTCCCCATCATCTGCTCAAAACGCTAACGGGCGACCTGACTGACCCCCGGCCATCGTTTGAGCGATTGACTGTCGTCGCCGTGCACCGGGCTTCACATCATTTGTATCCTCCTCAGCAGCTGGCAATACGACAACCAACAACCTTTGCACAGACTCTTTGAGCACTTTGCCCCAGCCATTTTTCTTTTGGAGGCGGAAGAGAAGAGAGAAGAGCGGTTGTCCTGCTTGTGTCCTGGTGGCCGGCAGCATGCCGGCCCGGAGCATCGAGCAGGTGGCGCTCCTGGCGACTGCCGTTTCTCCCTTCGTCTTCTTTTATTTTATGGTGGAGGGTGGCTTCAACACACTTGACATGTACCTCGCCCTCTTTCAAGGCGATAGCCAAGTCTGGGCGTCCTTTATCACCCTTCTTGAGCAAGGCAGCACCCTCTTCATTGTGGTTCGCAATCATGTCTCCGTCTCCCTCATGCCATGCCATGCCATGCCTGTGCACTCACTCACTCTTTCTCTCCCTCGTCTTTGCCCTGTATTCCGCATTATTCTTTGTCTCTCCACCAATCACGCGGTCTGCACATGCTGTAGTCGACGCTGGTGTTTGCCAACGCCTTCCTCTCCAATGTCGCCCGCTTGGTGGAGATGGTCATCTTTAAGCAGCTACGTGATGCGGAGCTCAAGGTTAGCCGCCCGCTTGGGTGCTGCTTGCCCTCAGATATCGGTCAGCGAAGCGAGGATTTCAACAAAGACGGGCGCGTTTGTGCTGGACCAGGTTTTGGCACAGAAAATCGCCGCACCATTTCAAGGCTCAAACTAACGTTTACGCATATATTTGACACGTGCACACACACACACACACACACACACGCGCGCGCGCGCGCGCCTCTTGCATGAATAGGACGTACTGGAGCAATCTCTCAACTATCTCATGCTCAAAGTGATTGTGATTTGGGCCACTTTGGACATGCAACCGAACATTGGCCTCTGGCCTTGGCTCTCATGGTTCATTGTCACGGGCTGGCTCTTTGCGTTTGCCACCATGTGCCAGTCCCGCATCGAATTTGTGAGTTGAATTCATGCACTCACCTTCTGAAGCCTCGGCTCTACCTTCTGCCCCATCGCTGTGCTTGGACTCATTCATCTTCTGATTTATAGATACTCCTGTCAGCGGGACGCATGAACCGAACGGCGTCGCCGGCATTGGGGTTCATGACCACCATCATGGTGTTGGCGCTTGTCCTGACCATTTCCTCAGCCTGGGAATGGCGCGACATGCCTTTTAGCTTTGTAGCGCTATGGTGCTTTGACGGCATTAGCTGCTTCATCCTTTGCTTCCAGACGCTGTGGCGTTTCACTCTTATTTCCACGCAGCCGGTGCGTAGATATATGCACGGCCACTAGCCCATCCTTAAAGCATGGCGTTATGCCGTATTGAGCGGTGATACACACACACACACACACACACTATAGTGATGTTTGCACACTGACAGACACAAATATTTTTGACGCACGTGCATACGATATTTAGATGCATTCAACCCCTGACGTGCAAGCCTTTGCACCCGAGTCGCGCTTTGCTGTTTTTCTGGACGTTCTCCACCACGGATTACATCTTATGCACTACTTGCACATTGTTTGGCTTCAAGGATTCTCCGTGTTCGTATTGGACATTGTTCTCTTCCTCAAAGCACGGTAGGTCTTGAGATTTTGTTTTTGCTGCGCGTCGTGTTCGTAGTCCCTATCTTGATACTGTTTCTGACAATTTGGACCACTCGTGATCAGCTCGGCTTTTGAGCAGCTACGACTTAAACTATCTCGTCATTTCCGTGCCGTTCGGTAAGACTCCTTTTGTTTCGGGCAACAGCTTTGGTCTCCCTCTCTTGTGACATCAATGCTTTTGACTGGGTTCCAAAGGACCATGAGAACTGGAAGTTGAAAACCAGGCAGCTCTGAAATAAATTTTTGATCACACAAATTTGTGGTAGGCTCAACAAGCGCCTTCGCCAAGCGCTTCAACCCATCACTCAGCAAGATCGCGAGGTGGCTGCAGACGATTCTTGCGCTATCTGCCGCGATTTTCTTCAAGATGGCTTTAAGCTTGCTTGTGGGCACATGTATCACCTGGTACGGAGAATTGGGACCTTATGCCGTTGTTTGGAGTGAGAAACTTGTTGCTCCACCATTACTTGCGATTCTGCCTCATGCTTGTTTTGTACAGGCTTGTATCCGGCAGTGGGCGTCACAACAGCCAACGTGCCCGACTTGTCGTAAACGCCTTTTTCCCCGACGCGCAGCTGCCCAGGCCACCACGAGAGAGGGGGCTTTTCAGCGTATAGGTCGCGCACTTTTCTCCATCATGGGTTTGTGCCGCAACATTGCTTGCACAAGGCCATTCATCAGTCTCCATTCATCGGTCTCCATTCATCGCATCTCTACTGCCGCACTGACTTTTTTTTTTTTTTTTGTTTGTTTGGTTTATGTTTATTTGAAAAGGAACACTTTCCAACTTCTTAGGCCTGCAGTTGGATATCCAAGTGCATGTGGGAGCTGATGCCCATGCCCGCCTCCAGCAGCGATTGGAGCTCTCGGTATGAAACCTCCGTCAAAATCTCTGCGTAGCTCCATGCCCATCCACGCCGAACGTACCGACTCACATTTGGATCCTATGGCACCATAGGTTGTTCGCTTACAAGAAATGTTTCCACACATCCCGGCAGAAATGCTCCGTGACGATTTGCAACGAACAGGCAGCATTCATGTATACATTTGTTTGATTTCTATCATTGATCTTCAATGCTCAACCACATACTCAACCATCTTTTAACTCACTTGATTTGTTGCCATTGCCTTGGTGCCAACCCGCGTATTAGATCACGACGGAACGTGTCATTTCTGGCCAGCTGCCGGGAACTTTGGTGGGCAATGCCACGGAAGAATCCCCCATCGTACCACACACCGGCAATTTAGTTCCTGACGTGCACACAATGCAAGATTCGGCAACGTCAGAGGCGACCTCGCTGGCTTCAGAAGACCAAGGACGGTTTGCAGCCATGAAGGCTGAGATGCTGGCCGTTCAACGCAAGCGGTATCTGAGCAAGTATTCATCTTAGCTGTTCCACGGACATTTTTTGTTATGCCAATCTTCCTGTCCTCTTAGCCTTGTATGGGTCTCTATCTGGCATGTCATCCCCCTTGACCAATTATTATCTCATTGACTGGCACGCAACGGGGCTTTCCCCATCATTCTGTTCGTGTAAATCAAGAGATGGACAGTTTGTGAGGCTTATACATCGCGAGCACGCACACACATCTGTATTTGTCCTCCACGGTGGAAAGTACAGCACGAAAGCACGTGTGCACCCTGAGCCACGCAATGGCGCGACAAGTGTGACTCTGGGACTTTCCCGCTGTATTGATGTCATTATAGAAGCCGATGAAAGTGTGTTGTTCTCTTGTGTTGTTTTGCGTGCCGTTGTAATGTGATTTTGATGTCGGGGTTGCACAGCTTTGCTTTCAGCTCTGAGGTTCAAACACCTAATTTATTATTATACGGCCTCGCATCATGAGACCTGGGCAGATGAAACTCGATCAGATCGCACCCGAGCAGGTCAGGCCCATTCAGATGAGGCCCGAGCAGATCTGGCCTTGCATCATCAGGCCCAATCAGATCAGGCTTGATCAGATCGCACCCGAGCAGGTCAGCCCCATTCAGATCGCACCCGAGCAGGTCAGGCCCGAGCTGATCAGGCCCAATCAAATGAGGCTCGAGCAGATACGGCCTCGCATCATGAGACCTGGGCAGATGAAGCTCGATCAGATCGTACCCGAGCAGGTCAGGCCCAATCAGATAAGGCCCGAGCAGATGTGGCCTTGCATCATCAGGCCCGAGCAGATCAGGCTTGATCAGATCGCACCCGAGCAGGTCAGGCCCGAGCTGATCAGGCCCAATCAGATGAGGCGCGGGGGTTCCTCTGTGGGATCCCTGTGTACACCAGTCGCTTTCTAGGCGGTTCTCGTTGTGTCTGTTGATGGCTTGACTTGTATTTTTGTTTAATTTTGCTTTGATTTCTGCTATATTTTGTGGTATTTTTGCTGAATTTTTGTAAGGTCCTTTGTACCCCTCCGCGCCAAGGCGGCACTTGACGACCTGATGGCCGAGTGTGCGCTGGACCTGCAGCAGGCATATCTGGCCTCGCGTGAGTGGGGCGTTAGCACTGTCTTGACCATGCGGGGTCGGGACAAGTTGCGTCGCTTGAGCGACACGACCTTTGCCATTGCGGTCGTGTCCATGATGGGTTTTGGCCTCCATGAACTCATCAACGTCAAGCCGACGGACAAGTGCCCGCTCTGCAGCAGCAAGACACCTCAGCCGCGGCTGACCCGCGAGCACCTGCTAACCTGCCGTCCCATCAAGCGTCACAACGCCCTTCGCGACGAGATGGGCCGCCTGCTCAGGTACGCCACCCTCGCCCATGTCTGGGTGGAAAAGTCTGGCTACAACGCCAACGGTCAGAGCTGCCGCATCGACCTGCACTGCCGCAACCCCTTTCCCGGCGGTGCCCTGGGCCCAGCTCTGCCCGACCTGGGCATTGACGTGACTGTGCGCACAGCCCAACCCCCGACCACCTCGCAAGCCTGCATCAAGGTGGGCGCTGCCCTTCGCCGAGCCGAAAAGGAGAAGCGCGACTACTACACCGGTTTCAACCATGGAAAAACTCTGATCGTCCCTGCGGCGATGACGACAACCGGTGGGTTCGCCTCCTCCTTTGTGGATCTGCTTGGTCAGCTCGCCCGCTGCGCCGAGGCCCGTGGTGTGTACCAGCCGGGGCTGGATGAGGCCTTTGTTCCCCGGTGGAAGGGTCGCTTTGCGGCGCTGGTCCATCAGATGAACGCTGACCACATCCAGCGCCACTTTGGCGGTGTCTGCCTGCGCTCGTCGTAGGTAGGCACCGTCCCGGGGGTCCCTCTGTGGGGATCCCTGTGTGCACCTGTTGCTCCCTAGGTGGTTCTCGTTGTGTCTGTTGATGGCTTGACTTGTAGTTTTCTTGTAATTTTGCTTTAATTTTTGCTGTATTTGTGTGGTATTTTTGCTGAATTTTTGTGTAAAGTCCTTTGTATGATGTCTTTTCCTTCTGTGGTCGGTTGCCTTTACAACCCGACGCTGTCTCTGATCGTCCCTGCGGCGATGACGACAACCGGTGGGTTCGCCTCCTCCTTTGTGGATCTGCTTGGTCAGCTCGCCCGCTGCGCCGAGGCCCGTGGTGTGTACCAGCCGGGGCTGGATGAGGCCTTTGTTCCTCGGTGGAAGGGTCGCTTTGCGGCGCTGGTCCATCAGATGAACGCTGACCACATCCAGCGCCACTTTGGCGGTGTCTGCCTGCGCTCGTCGTAGGTAGGCACCGTCTCGGGGGTCCCTCTGTGGGGATCCCTGTGTGCACCTGTTGCTCCCTAGGTGGTTCTCGTTGTGATCTTTTGATGGCTGGCTTGACTTGTATTTTTGTTTTAATTTTACTTTGATTTTGACTGTATTTGTGTGGTATTTTTGCTGAATTTTTGTAAAGTCCTTTGTATGATGACTTTTCTTTCTGTGGTCGGTTGCCTTTTCAACCCGACGCTGTCTCTTGTTGTATGTGAGCGTGCCGTGGTGTTTTTTATGTTTGTGCTGTGATGGCTTGTAGTTGTGATGTGTGACTGCCTTTTCCTGTGTCTAGTGGTTCAAATGA